ACTAATCTATTGAATACAACCACACTCTTAATTTCCTTCAACAAGTACAAAAGTCATCGTGAGCATCAGCTGGGATTTTCTGTAGAAAATGTTGAAAAGCAAGAGAGAGAAAGCACCGTTCTTATTAAAACTTGTCCATCGTGATACAAACAACAGTGAGGCACAAAACAGGAGTAATGTTACATGTCCCCTTCTCTTAACACCGTGCGTGCAAGACCGTTGTTACAGTCGCCATTTCAACATTGTAGAGTTTATATGCTTTTTAGCCTTCGATCCATTAGCATGGTGAATGTTTGGTACATTATGGGAATTAGTCCCTCAGTTTCTTGTCATTCTAAAAAACACTTTGCCATGCTGAGTTGAGTGTTTATTTGCACAGGGAACCCGTGAGGAAGATGATGTTGTGAGTGAGGACCTTGTAGAGCAAGATGCCCAGGTCTGTTTCATTGATCTGTTTTTACAGTGTAAAGTGATAGCAAGTTCACACACAAACACCACTTCTTACTTGTGCACAGTGTTTACATGTATGTGGAGTACAGATATTCATATTCATGCACTGCATAACATTAGGAAGTATGAGATTTTTTTTTACGGTAAAGATCCAGGTAAGAGTTTGAATTTAATCTGCTTTAGCATTGCATCTCCTTGCATCATTTCAAGGTCTGTCTTGGAAACTCGTTAAAAAAAAATAGAAGTTGCAAGAAGCTTAGCAGTTTCAAACCGTGCATATGTATTCTAGATGCTGCAAGTACAGATTAATTTTCTGTAACTGCAGTTTTAGTTTAAAATGTCAAGGGTATCCATGTAATTTTTACCCACACCTTTGCATGTAACAGCAGTTTGATGTTACAAGAATTCAAAAACATGTACTGTAGCTTTTGTTACTTTTTGCATTCGTTTATCATCCTTTAAATATTATATTTTGGTTGGTTTATTAGAGCTACCTAAGACTGATATTTTATACTCTGACAATAGTCACAATTCTAGGATTTTAGTTACAGTAAATCTGTCTAGCCCTTGTGGAAAATAAGAAAAGGTTTTGTTTGTGGAATACTTGTATTGGACTTTTACTCCTACATGATAAAACAAGAAATGCTTCTATTACTAATGTAGAACTCACATTATCATCTTCTTTTCTCATTCAAAACTCGGTCTTCCACCACAATGATGAACACCACAGGATCTGTATGAAGCTGGAGAAGCACAGTGGGGTACTGATGAGGCCAAATTCATTACCATTTTGGGCAACCGGAGTGTCACGCACCTTCAGTTGGGTGAGTAAAACTCATGGTGTCACAAACTGGCCTAAAGCATCATTTTTTATAATGCCATGAGACTCCTAGTGTGTCTTGCATCATAAACATGTTCTGCTTTTTGCATTGTGTGACTGAAATTGATACTGTTGCATAAATTACAATACAATTGATATTCAGTTATATTAAATAGCAACTAATTTATCACCTCATATTAAAAGCATCCACTTAACATTTTTTTAAACATTTGTTGCATAATATGCTGTTAGGTTCTTGATGCTTTGTGTCTAGTTCCATCATAATACCAAATGAGTATAATGTGCATATATATAAGTAAACATTATGCTAAGAATTCAAGCTTCCATCTGCTTCTGATTGCTTAAATTAACTATGCATTTAGTTTCATGTTTTAGTTAACTAGAAATTTGCTGAGGATCAGCTACAAAAATTCCATGCATCACATAAGCTTTGCTCCCCTTTCTCTTTGTAAACCCTAGATCTTATGAACAAATGATTCACAGTACAGAACTGTGAAAGACTCGGATGAAAGATTTCTGTTGGATTTGCAGGCTTAATGAGTCATTTCAAACAACTCTTTTTTTAATTTTATAATATTCCAATTTTCCAACATATTTACAGAGATTAGAACTCTGATTTATGTGGTTAAATTGAACAGCTTTGATTCATAATGAAATGAAGAGAGAGAGATTCCTTGACATATGGCTTATTTTGCACATGAAGGATAATGACTTCTCCGTCTGGTTAACATTTGTTTCTCAGTGTTTGATGAATACCAGAAGATTGCAGAGAAGGAAATGGAAGATAGTATTAAAAGTGAATTGTCTGGTGACTTTGAAAGACTGATGCTGGCCGTTGGTAAGAATTCTTTCTCCTTCTTCCCTCTGTTACCCTTATAAGGAACTCCTCACCCCACTGCTGCGTGCTGGTGTATTTTTACACTCGTGTCAATTCTGTAAGGCAAATACTGTAGGCCTTCAAAAATGTGTCCTCTTTGTTTTTATCTGTTTTACAGTTGAGTGCATCAGAAGCCGTCCAATGTATTTTGCAAAAAGGCTCTACAAATCTATGAAGGTAAATAAGAAACAATCAAAATAAAATGGATATTCACAGAATGGAAAGCCACCTGTGTATTCTCCTCTTATTTCAGACTTGTTGCTAAGCCTTTCATTAAAAATCCTAAAAGCTTGTATTGCGCTTATATTGGTTTCTTTTTTACAGGGCCTTGGAACGGCAGATAACACCTTAATCAGAATCATGATTTCCCGCTCCGAAATTGACATGCTTGATATCCGAGAGTGCTTCCGTCTCAAATACGAGAAATCTCTGTACAACATGATCAAGGTTTGGCATTGGTAGTACACATGCGACCACACAAACTGATTTGTAAGAACAGGACCTTTTCGTTCGTGTGCTTCTTTTAGGTGGTGGTGGGGTAATTGAGATCTGGCCACTAGTGGAGAATCTGATTAACTTGCATTACAGCATATTATATCTGAAATGAATATATTTTACCACATTAAAACTTAAGAGCATTATAGCTCCATTCAGAACAGAAAACTCTGTCCTGGTTCTCTGGACTGTACCCCTGTACAGACTGTCCCAAAGTCTTTTTAATATAACAAGCAAGTTAAGAACCAAATAAATGTAAGTCTTCATACTGGTTAAGATTTAAAGGGATGAATATGTCCCCTTTTCTCAGGTCTATGGCTCCTGTTGTTTTAAATAACCTTCATACCCTCTTTAAGCATAAATAATGTGTAAAGGTCATTCTAGGTTTCTACGTTGTAGGTTTGTCACCTAGAGTTTTGGAAATAGCTTATCGATTATCTGTAGAGCTTTTGTCCAGTCTTTTTAACTGATATATATATATTTTAAAACGAACAATGTAATTCACTTTCTTATTTTTACCAAATCTATTTAAAATCCTTTAATTCACATGAGATTAAGTAGTCTAGGTGATACAATTCTGATAATGTGTATCTGTATGTTTTCCAAAGGATGACACCTCTGGAGAGTACAAAAAGACGTTGCTCAAACTGTGTGGAGGAGATGATGAGTAAGTTGCTCTTAATTCCTTAAATCAAAAATAACAATGAGAAATAGTGGAGGAAGGCTTATAGCCAACAATTGAGTTTGCTCTTTTACACTAATTATTTATTATTATTAATTTATTATTAATTATTACGTTTTTTATTGCAATGAATTTGGGATCAACTTAGATTAGTTATTGGGTTGCGCAGTTGTACTACGTGCATATCTCCTATATGTTTCTAATGCCTTCTGCTGATGATTGTCACAACATTTTAAAAGATGTCAAAAGTTTCTTAGGACAGTGGCAAATCAGAAACAAGCCTAGTGCTTTTGATCACTTCTTTATTTTCAGATATCAATAATATATGCAATATGTATGATATATTTAATATATGACCCCTTAAAAAAGTACTCTATGTATGATATTAAAGGGACAGTATAGAGCAGCTCCAAGAGTTTTGGACTCAAATTTTGACCAGTGTGAACAGTTTACCTGTATTAATGAGTAAATGTGAGTTCACCTGCAAACAATTCTGCATCTGAGAAATGAATGCACTTGAAAAAGAAATGTTGGACCTGGAAAGCATGAGACACTGGTTTGGGAGTTTACCCACGGACGCAGTCCAGTGCATTCTCTCTGGGTGTGGCTATTCAGCTGACCGGCTATGTTGTTACTTAATGTTTCAGCCTAGCTGGCGAGTTCTTCCCTGAAGCAGCACAGATAGCCTACAAGATGTGGGAACTTAGCGCCATGGCCCGAGTAGAGGTTTGGTCTCCTTAGTCCCAGTAGACATGTGGCTGCTTCTTGGGCTTGCGTCCAGTTTTCCTTAACATCCCCTAATACACTGTGTTCTGCCTGATTTCCCTTAGAGCTTACTGCTAAGCTTATACTGCTTTGTTTTTTTTATATATATATATTTCATGGTCTTGCCTCACTAAGGAGCCTTTGTGGTGTGTCATGTTAAGATTGGGATCTCATTTTGTTGGCTAATTTGCGTATGAAATATCCAAGCTCATTCCTTTCGACTTGTGTTTCACAAATACTAGATATCACGCAACCGATTAACAACTCCCCAGTTGGTCAGTGCAAGATTTTGTTTAACTTTGTTCTTTGATGCGCCAAGAGAATCTTGAGAAAGCTACATGGAACCTAATGGATGTGTACTTTCTGTATTAGACGGTTTGAAACTGCTTTATCCACTTTTTCACCTGTCTTTTAAAACAAAATGCTTTTTCACCTATATCACACTCATTTCCTACACCAGCTAAAACCTTCACAGCGTAAGCAGATGTGTAAGAGAACAGATGACGCCAATCGCACACTAGCATGTATGAACCTGCTCATATAACCACATTCACACCAAACTCCACCTCGCTAACAAACTAAAAAATGGTTTGGCAGCTACTGTTACTGGTGTAAACTATTTTCTCGTGTCATTGTTTGTTTGCCTAGTTGTGGGCGCTGAAGCAAATCCGAAGTATCAGTTAGTCAATTAGTAAAGTGTCTTAAAATCCCAATTTAATGTTTTCAAAACACAGAGGTGTTAGAAAATGGCTCGTGCTTTCTATATTGCTCATTATTGAATGCTGCCCTAATTCCTTTTCTCAGTCACTGCTTTTTATCCCTTGGCTTCACACTTTGAGTTGGCACATGATGTGCTGCTCTTAAGAGTTTTGGTTGTGTGTTTTGGGTTTAAGCCTTCTGCTTATGTTCTGTCTACAGCTGAAGGGAACAGTTCATCCTGCAGCCAATTTTGACCCAGGCAGTGACGCACGTGCTCTCCGGAAAGCAATGAAGGGTTTTGGTATGCTCTCTGCCATTTGTCTTTATTAATAGTTACCTTAGATTCATTAATAGGTATCATATATTTGTTTTTCTGTGCTGAGATTCAGATTAAATCAAAGATAACCCTGAAAGATGAAGACAAAGCGCTCTCCCTGGATTTTGGCAGGATGAACTGTGAAATATGAAACACAACTGGAAATAAAAACCAACTGCTTTTAAGACTGAGAGGAGATAGCACTGTGGATACAAGCTGCTAGAGCACATGTGCAAAATGAAATCCTCTCATTTACTGTTTATCCTTCTTTCTTGTCTTGTTAAAAGCTTGCAATTTCCATTGAAGTCTAACGACTGTTGTGGTATTTCTTCCTGGTTTCCCTCAGGCACCGATGAAGATACAATAATAGACATTGTTACTAAAAGGAGCAATGCACAAAGGCAAGAGATTCGGAAGAGCTACAAATCCCAGTTTGGCAGGGTAAGAAGCTTTTTCTAAACCATTGTCAAAAATCAATTAACAATACAAATTATAGGTCACAAATTATTTTGAAGATCATTTTTATCATATCGATGATGGTGATGATAGTGGATTCTTATTTGTTTAGGATGTCATGGCAGACCTCAAGTCGGAACTCTCTGGCAATCTGTCCAGACTGATCCTTGGTCTGATGATGACTCCAGACCAGTTTGATGCCAAAATGATGAGAAAAGCTATAGAGGTGAGAAAAAGCCAATGATTATTTTGTGCATATGGTACAGTTTATCATTCTCCAAAATACAGAAACTGTTGAGAGTCATGCACAGGCTCATTAAGAGTTACACATGCAGCTCTGCCTGGAACTCCATGATACTTTTATCACAAGCTCTACAATACGCTTTACAGTTATAACAAAACTACTCCTCCTCCTCAAAATAAATGTCTGGAATATTTCATGTAATTAAACAGGCATACTACATTATATTAATTGTAATGAAGTAACATTTGTCATTGCAATTTTCATGTATTTGGGAATGATAAATGTGTTTTAAATTTTCTGTGAAGTGTGCTGCTTTTTAGCTGTACTTTTGTGTTATGCATTTTGTGTAAATCTGACCGATAGATTTTGCATCGTTTTTATTGCAATTCATAGTCTCCTCTGTTTGACAGTGTTTCTCAGATTCCCAGTGTTTTGCTGAGCACTGAGCTTTGCTCAGAGTGCCGTTTTGCTGTTCTGTGCTAAACGTAAGCATTCCCTTCTATTTAAGGGAGTTGGTACTGATGAAAGTGCTTTGGTTGAAATTCTGGCAACAAGAACTAACCAGGAAATCCTGGCGATGAATGAAGCCTACAAAAATGGTAAGAGACAATGCCTTGGAAAAACTGCTACTACAAACACAAGCAGTTCATTACCTACCTGTGCAGGTCATAAAATCCTAAAAAAAGACCAATCATTTCATCATTTTTTTTTGTGTTGCGATACAAACCTGCAACCCTCTTTTCTTCAAAAGGTTTAGTGGCTGAATATTATGGCTTTGAATAAACCTCTTTGATTGCTATCAAATTAATTTAATTAGGGCTGGTGCTTACTGTTGGTCTTTTTTTAATAACTCGGACGTCCAGCAGAGGGAGCAACAACTAAAGGGTACAAGCACGGTCAGTCTAACTCCTCACTTGTGTGCGTTTTCAATTCCACCCTTCTGCCATGATGTCTTGCAGCTTATCACAAGAGCCTTGAGGATGACATCAGCTCGGACACTTCAGGGCACTTCTGTAGGGTTCTCATCTCCCTGGTGCAGGTACAGTGTGTTCAGAGCCCCCAAAACAAAGATGCTGTCTGAAATCGCACTAGTGTGATGTACATCCTCTCCAGGAATAAGTGCCACTTTTACTTGGTTTCTCCTTTCACCATAATGAGAAAACGAAATGAAATGATTCAGTTCAGTAGTACTGTATGTTGGCTTTCTGTACTGCCGATGCTCTTTTGATCTTCTGAACAATTGTGTTTGGCAGGGGGCTCGTGAAGAGGGAGAGGCAGATCAGCAGAAAGCCCAGGAGGATGCCAAAGTAAGTAATGTAAGGCTGACAGTTTGCCGATGGATTATAGCACAGGTTGAAAGTAGACGTATTAAAATATCAGTAGGGCGCTTCTCCATACTTTCATGTCCAATGTGATCTACATCCATAGAAGGGTATTTTTGCTGTACTGTATCTAACAACCTCGGGTAACTAAAACTCCTGTATGTTTTTTGGGGGATATGATTATAATTAATTAATTGAGCAAGCTCTTAACATTTAATTATATAATTGAGATGAGAAAGTACTGTGCAGTTTATTTTCATCAGTTTTTGTTACATGAATGTCACTATCCATTTGTATTTTCCCATTTCAGATGCTTTTAGTTTGCCATACACAGATTCTATTTTTATTTCTCTTATTTTGGGGGAAAATACTGAAGTTTCCAGTTTACCATGTGAGCCACACACGTTATGAAACAACGCCTCCACAAAACACACCTCCATGCAGACTTTTGCATTTGGTTACCTTCTTTGACTGCAAATGCCTAGTATAAAATATTGTAGATTAAACATATTAAGACATTTCAGTTCAAGGCACTTGTATTATGTATGAAGTTGTGCATAATGATATATTTAAAATGGTAATAAAAATACCAAACATTTCAGTTCGCTAGCTCTCGTGTGTAATATACTGTACATATTTTTAAATTAATTTCCTTATCCTACGTAGTCATTGAAAGTAAACCATTATGCAGTACCTCTTATGAGTGAACTCATACCTCTCACCACCATCACACCAAAGATGTTAGTTTTTAGTTTTAGATTGTTTATATTGTAGCTGTTCCTTTTGACAACACCATCAATATTTTTCCTCTTATCTTCACTGTGCTGTCAGATTATATATGAATCACTGGTAAGTGTGTTTTTTTCCGGACATGAAGTACATGAATGAACATGATGATCAGATCTGATGCTGATGCTGACCGTGGGACCTTAAAAATGTTATAAACCATTAAAGAAATCCAGATTTTAAGCTTCCACAGGCCACGGACCATTTCCTGTTTTACTTACTGGTTAGAAATTGAATCTGAAAGGATTCCGAATTAAATCCTTGTGCAGGACAGCAGGAGTCCTCTGCTCTTCTGGTGAACAGCATTGATTTGTTCATTTGTGTAAGTCTGTCCTTGATGTTCATGGGAAAACAAAAAAAAATCATGAATGAATGAATGAACATTTTCTTAAATAAAGTTACAATACTTCCTGGTATTTCTCTGGTGTCATTTTGTTTGTATAGACTACTGATTGTTCTAGTTTTCAAGGATGAAAGATTTTTTTTAATATGGCAACAGAGTTCTTTCTCAGTCTCTATCTATCTTTACCACCTTTATCTGACCAAGGTTAAAACTGATTCTTTTTCCTTAGGAACTAGGTGATGCTTGTGTTGATGACTCCAGCTCCACGGAGAGCAGGTTTATGAGTATTTTATGTACCAGGAGTTACCCTCATCTCCGCAGAGGTACGCCAGTCATTCATTCTCAACACTGCTTAGAGGGTGGCTGTCTTCTCCTCTCCATCATTAGAAACTAAGGCCTGATGAAGATTCTCTGAGTGTTCTGGTGTTGGGGAGGGAGGGGGTGGTTTCTGGAAGAGGAGAATAAAATAAGAAATACAAATGAGAGGATATTCAGTCTATTTCAGCCGTTGGGTATTTAGAAATTAATTAATCCAGGGATCTCGTCCGGGCGTTTCTTGAAAGAAGCCAGGTTATCAGCTTAAGCGACATAGCCTGAGGAAATCCACTGATGCAAGCATTTGGAGTACTTGTATCTGGTCCAGAATTGTACACAATATTCTAAATGAGGCTTTGCTGGTGTGGTTATTTTAACATAGATATAATTTAGGATATACAGTATAACTATATATCCTAGCATTTTGGTTGCCTTTTTACATTGTCTAGAAGATTTAAATGTGCTGACAACATGCCTGTTTCCATAAGTAGCCTCTTCTAGCTCAGTACAGTATTTCCTGTTTTGTGCTGATACTTTATAACCAAACAATAACTATTACTTCTTACCTTGATCCACTCACCATGTCATTTAAGCATTAACTCCAAGTCTTCCGCTACAATAAGTCCTATCTTTTCCAAAACAGCTCTTTCTGCTCCCAGCAACTCCTCCTATCCCTGCAATTAACACAGCACATAGACACACCTGTAAACTCAATGCCCCTCCCACGTGTGCGGGTCTGACCAATCACAGAATTGCTCAGTAGCCTTTGAACCTGAAATAAGAGGTCTGTAACATTGACATCACAAGAATGAGTATTGTAAAGTAACATTGGATGGGGATGTGTTTGTGTAAGAACAAAGGATGTTTTTGGTTTTGCTATTATGTGCCATCTTCCTTTGATCTTCTTATGTCATCTGTGTATCTAAGTCTCTGACAATCTGTTGTTGCTTCGTATTCTATCGTGCATGTGCTTTGTCCAAAAAAAAGATCTCAAAAACAGTTTTCCAAGAGATTTCATTGTGTTTGTGTAGAAGGCAATGCGACAGAAAGCTGAGAAGGCAAGTTCTTTTTCATGACTGTTACACAAATTAAAATTAACTGTATCTTCTTGTACGTCTTTGTTTGTTTTCAGTGTTCCAGGATTTTGTGAAGTGCACAAACAAGGATATTGAACAAGTTATTAAGAAGGAGATGTCGGGAGATCTCAAGAATGCCTTTATTGCTATTGGTAGGTTTTGCCAAGTAATAGCCAGGGGTTGCCAGTCCTGGGAGGGTACAGATAAGCAGGTTCAGTGGTGAAATGAATGAAGAGGCTTCTATCCATGCAGTACTCCTACTTTAGTCTGAAGCTGATGACTTCAGTGGCGGCAAGCACAACTGTCTCTGATGACGTGTGTTCTTGACATTGAAAGGTGGTTGTTGGTGATCCAAATACAAGGAGTAGTCTGGGCTTGTTTCATTATTATTCTAAAAAAGAGAGAAAGTTTCAGAAAGAGTTTCCAGAGTGCTCCTTAAACCTCTTAAGTCAAAACTTTGATATGTGATTTTCTTCTCCCAGTCCGAAGTGTTAAGAACAAGCCTTCCTTCTTTGCTGAGGGTCTATACAAAGCTATGAAGGTACTGTGTATGGCATTTTACTTTCGATATCTTTTTTTGCACATTAGCACAGTTAAATCTGGTCTTTAAAATGTAACTGTAATGTAAAATGTAATGTTAACTAATTATAGGTATGTCTTGTAAGCAGATGGATTTTGTTATACAGTGGGAGGATAGCCACATTTAAAATAAAACAAGAACATAAAAACAGAGTAAGAAATACTCCTGGATGGGAAGTACATTTAGATTTATCATTTAGTTTTTCAAAAAGTCCCTTTGCTTTAGTATGTGTGGTGACATGGCATGAACATTTGATTCAATGAGTCATTTAATTCAGAGAATTCATAGAAAGGCTTCTGTCAAGGAAATTTAATTGAACAGCTGAGGATACTGTGATATGAAATAAAGATTGAAGGTTAAGAAGTAGTATTTTTCAGCCTAGAAGTAGTAATTCCCTATAGAGAGGAGTTGGTCATATTTATTACCAGTGTATCTTTCTCAGGATCTAACCTTTTACATTTAAACACCCAACAGTTTTGTAATGGAACGTTCTTTATTGTACGCTTATTGCTATATAATGTATATTGCAGTTTATAGAAACAGAAGTATTTTTGCATACAGGCATGGGCGTTGTTTTTATTTTGATAACCCCTGTCATATTCTATCCTCTCAGGGATTAGGGACTGACGATCGTGCTCTGATCAGGATCATGGTATCCCGCAGTGAAATCGACCTATTCAATATACGCAAGGAATTCAAAGACCTTCACGATGCTTCTCTCCACGAGTTCATCCAGGTCGAGGCTCTCTGTGTTAGTTGTTGGGTTTTTTTTTGGTTGTTGTTTTTCACCAAGCATATCTCAGCCCAGAAGCAGTTCGTGTCTGTGCCATTTTTTCAAAGTACTAACCTGTGGATGTTCTGCCTGTCCGTTTTACGAAATTGTGCAGTGTGCCGTTTTGGGTGACAAAAAAATACACGGTGAGCTAAACTGGGCTACATTGCAACCTTGGTTTTTGAGGTGGACTAGTTTAGCTCAGCTGTCCAGGAATTCCCCCTGTACCTACTTCCTCTCTTATAGAGAGTGTGATTGGCTGCTTCTGTGACAGGAAAGCTTTGTAACAAGGGCGATAGGTTTCCTGTCTTAGAACTGCATTTGAAGATCACAAAGAGGAAAATTGTGAGCTTTCTATTTAAATTTGTAAAAAAAAAAACATTTTGCAAACATTACTAAAGCTAGGAAATAGCATGGTCAGTTATTGATGCAATGAAAATCAGTGTTGCTTTGTTTTATTGTTTACTTATACAATTTAGATGTGGGCTGATTTTAAAATTTTCTTATCTGTTATGAGTTATTTACTAGCTTCTAACAGTTCTCATAACATATAGAGCTCAAATAACTCTGAAAGGTGGATTCTGAGATTGGTGATCTATTGCATTTTACTACAAGTACGTCCACAAAAAAAATACTTTTCTTTTAACATATATTATTTCAAAAAGGTTGGTGCTACTGAATAGCATTTTAGCTTTTTTTAGCAACATAAGGAATATTAGCTATACAGCCAACCAAACATTTAGCCTTGAAAATCAGGCCACTTGTTTCAAATGCAGAATGAACATTGTGTGCTTCTTTTATCCACACGCAAACTAATGACTGAACTCATTAGAAGTAGAAGGATTTTGCTCCCTGTCCTAAAAACGTTTACCTTTGTTTTTCTTACCAGGGTGACACATCAGGAGATTATCGTAAAGGCCTGCTAGCTATTTGTGGAGGAGAAGATTGATTTCCTGAAAGCCATCCCCTGCCTTTACCACTCAGGAGTTCTCCCAAGTATGACATTGCTTACCTGTTGCTTTAGAACAGAAGCAAGCTCAAGATACAGTGACAAGCTCCTGATCGACTCCTACAGTATCTTCACTTTACCCTGTGCTATGCCAAAAAATGTAACCACCAGCCTTACAACTGAAACCCCCTGCTGCTTCCATGTGGTCGATGTTCTGCAACTTCCATCTTAAGAAGATTTTAAGGAGGATGACAGATTTTATTATTTTTTACACTGTCCTGTAGTTTGTGGCATTACCTTTGAATGTTAGGGTAGCAATGCTTGACTTGGTTTGTGGTAAGGAAGCAAAACAATGATAAAAAAGATTTGCTTGAGCTGTTATAGATCAGGACTCTCTACACTGGTAAGTCGTGCAACCTAGTGATAAAATTGGATATAATATTGATTATATTATTGGATAAATTGGATAGAACATGTTAAAAAAATAAATAAATCACTGAAGTGTGCATTTGTAGCTGTTTTGCTTTTTGAGTTTTTTCTAAAGAAATAGCAAATGTTGTGGGGGCAGTTTTCTAAAATTGTAATCAGAGTTAAGCAACTGGGAGAGAATTACGATGGTAAGTCTTAATGTAGCATAACCCACTGAATTTATATTTATATTTTTTGGGTAAATATTACGAGATTGTTCAACCAAATACTTATGGTTTCAGTTTTGAAGAGAGGTTTTAATAGTTATACTTATTACATTGCCCATCCTTCTTTGTTCATTTAGAATTCTAGATGCCAATAGAGCACTCTTTCAAATCTGCAAAGCATGTATTTACAATAAAAAAAAAATTAAACATTTGGAGGGACAAGGAATAGAGAACTGCAAAATGTTCTATAATTGCAGATTCATTAAACCGTGTGGTAATGATAATAACTGATAAAATCATCTGTTTTTCCAAGCCTTTTTGTTCAAACATGAACAAGGAGCTGCTAATGAACAACATATCACAGCAAGTTCTTAGAATGTGCTTGGAATTTCAAAGTTGCTTATAAGAGTGAGTAGGGCATTCATTTGGGCGTGCAGTGGCTGAGGCAATATCAAAGCACAGGTGTAATTATGACTTCCAAACAGTTTAAATATAGTGGTTCCATTACAACCTTGTCAAAGACATATTATGCAGGTTATAAGCAAGCAGCCTGTCTGTATGGTGATAAACTGGGGTTATTTCTGTAACAGATCAAGCCTAATTACATTGTAGTAACATTTATGGCCAGGTTGGAAATACCCTTCACTGCACAATGTGGTGCATACCTCCATAGAAGGGTTTAGTTTCAACAGATTTAAGAAACCAAAAATATGTGTTATGGTGAAGCTACACTTCAGGACTGCTTACTATTCAGTAGGTTGCCATGAAGGGTGAGAGCCCTGACCATGGCATTTAAAGACGATTTCTTAGTGACTTTTATCACATTCTTGTTCCATCGAGTCCTGCCCAAGTCCTGTTAGACCTTCCATCAGTTTAACCTCTATTAAATCTCAGACTTAGTACCTTGCCTCCAAACAGAATATTTATAAACATAGAAATGTCAAGATGTTTTGGTACTGAAGTCAAGCGGCATTTTTTCTTCTTATAATCTTCATAACACACATAAGAGTTGATATAGTTTTTGTCTCGGGTTTCCAAATGCAGGGAAGATGAGACGTAAACATAAGACATGCTTATTTACATGATTATTATTGTTGCTCAGCCTTTCTGAATCTCCTCTTCTCTCCCGTATTCTTAACTTTGCATGGCTAGTAATAATGAGTGTGGCAATTTCCTGCTTACCTCTGCCAGGCAGTAAGGTGCTAGGGCAAATTGCCCATGGAGTAAAATCGTGAAAGAGGAAGCTGTACACTCCAGTTGATCAGCTGCATTCACCTCAGATATTTTCAAAGAGGAAGTTAGTGAACCAACTGGAGTGCACTGAAACCAAAATCTCTTTGATATTGGACAAGCACAAACCACAAAATTACCTGGGAGACTTCTCACAGAGCAGTGAAACTAGGAATGTGTCAAAAATTAGTTTGAAAGGGATAACTTTTTGCTAATTTAAAAACAGTATTATTAACATGAACAGGTCCCTAAATCAAAGTAAAAGCATCCCTACATTTGGAATGAAAAGAGCACACATTTGGATTGGTATGCATCTACTGTATGTTTGAGTAACTGGTTTGTGAATTAAATGCTTTTGTGAAGCACTAGGACATAAAAATCTGTTCCTTTTTATTAATAATCCAACAAATCAAATTTTTGTGTGTTTGGGAGTTTTTCCTCTTTTTCACGTTTTTTTTTAAATAAACTGATCTTTTGAAAATTAATGTTATATTTCCTCTTCTGTATTTACTATGTGGTACTTCTGCTTTTGTATGTGGTATGTAAGAAGAATGCAGGATTCCACACTACATTTTCCAAAAGAATGCACTTCTTTTCATCGCTAGTCATATTAATGTTAACCAATTTAACATTTGGTTAACATTTGGGGATTAAAAATAAGTAGTATTTCTTCCAAAAAGTGGAATAATTGGTTAATACTGAGAAACAATTGGCATAGTTCTAAAAAATGTGTTCATTTGTATCAGCCATTTATTTCACCATAAAGACATGACCGTCTTGCTATAATTCTCTTTATATTAAGTTGTAGTACTCGCATTAAAGGTACAGAATTTGAGGGGTAGCGATGAACTTTTATTGAATGTTTAATGCATTTTAATTTTAAAACATTATTGCTTCAATTATTACCTTTAGTAATGGTACTTTCTCCAGATATTTTGGGCCAGATTAACTCATTTACTGTACCCATCACTACTTTTATAAAGTATAGGGGCTATACCAAGACATCATATGATTTAGTATAGTTTGCTATACCTCAGCAACAAGACATATGTACATGTAGAAACCTTACTGATTGCTGTTGGCTTCTTTCCCAGGCCTGGTTTCAAACCATGATGGCCACATTCTTTTGGCAGCATGAGTTCACTAGTTGGTTTGTGGAATGTTGAAAAACATGCCATCCTATTGAGAAAGCACCCTGTAGTCATAGAGCATAACTAGGTGATTATGTGTTCATGTGGTTGTGAACCACTGTTGTGCAGTTTTTTTGTTTTGTGCAGAGCATGTTCTGTTTCTGGGAAACAAAAACAAAATGTTGAAAGCTCATTTTCGTTTGTTTGTTTGTTTGTTTAAAGAGGAGTAATTGTCTTCATAAAAACAAAGATCCTTAGTCGGGTACTGTAAAATGAATGAATGAATCCGAACAGCCTGCCTAATTAACTAATTGTAATTGTTTATCAATGCTTTCCCATTTCACTGATGAGAAAAAAATGCTAAACCCACCATCTACTGTCTAAATATTCAGCATCTCTTATTGAAATGGGACAAATAACTAAAAACTTTCACAAAATTAAGTGACTTGCATTGATGAGACCAAAGGATGAACACGAGTCTCTAAATAGGATTTTAATTAATAAAAGACAAAAGAGCTTTTTTAAGCACAGACTGTTTTAAGGATAATTGTTTTTTGCAACTGTAAATAAAATACCACCAGTAACTAGCTTGGTCTGCCCTAGGCCCAATCAATCATGAGTGAGTCGTGTTAAATAATTCACACCTATTGACATGTACACCTGGCATAAAAAAGAAAGCACATGAAGTATAAATCTTGGGGAAATTCCCATCATAAATCATCTGTCTTTCAAGCGCCAGGACTGGACCTCAAAATAAATAATGCCCTGCACTGAAACATGAAACACTCTCTTTGGCATGGGGACATTTGATGGCTTTTTTTTCATTTGCCTTATCAAAGATTTTAGTTTAGTAATAGGATACAATACATATCCTTTCTTCATCAAAGAAGATCCAAAAATGCATAAGCTATTTCTGAAACTAGAATACATTATAAACCCCAAAGTGCTCAATTGTTACTATTAATTGATGGAGTAATTCTACACAGTGCATCACTGTCACTTTTTTATGAATCAGTAAAGAGTTTTTAAGTACTGACTCGACATAATCGCAAGTAAATCAAGGGGAAAAAAAACAAACTGCTTTCTTTCTGAGGTTGCTACAACCTTTTTCCAAAGAATTAGTCTGCTGAAAAAGAGCTTCACATGGTAGAGGCACAATAATGATTATGCAAAACCTTGTTCTTTCAAAGCCAGATGGATTGTTACTGCAAGCCAGAACTGTCATGCAGTGCCTGATTTCATGTGTGTTACCATAGCTTTGCAACCTGAACTTCATGCAGTGGACGCTGCAAATATGGAACAATAAACTGTTTCCCTTTCACTTGTCATAAGAGTTGCCCTTTATTGTCTGGTGTGAGCATTTTACAAGTGTCTGTAACTGTTTTCATGCTGTTGTCACATCGGTTGTTGTGTTCATTTGCTGGAGGTAAATAAACCACAAATCTATGTTCAAAAATAAGGTGAGAGCATGGCTGATAATACAAGGGTGAGGCTGTTTGGTTTTCTTCTGCAGGTACCAAGCATGATACTGTAGATAAGTCTATTTGCTATACGTCTATTTGCTATGTTTCAGAAGCTAAATATAAACTCTACTGCTACAGCTGAAAGATATACAGTATTTGCAAAATAGGGTTTTTCTAAAAGTGATAGAAACGTGACTTTGACTGGTATTTGCTATAGTGATGTTATGCTTTTATTATTTTTCTATTATTTGTACCAGCTGGTAAGTTCTGAGCTAAATTCTGTCATAAAAAACATTGTACAATTTGCATCATACAAGATTTGGAAGTAACCCTGCAATCTATAATAGAGTGCTGCTACCTCTTATCAGGACAGGCCTGGGTTAAAAACCTGAGGTTAGGAAATCCCCACATGCATTTGCACACTTTAATCCTAGTGGCCTTCTTCAATAACTGCATCTTCCTGTTTAGAGGAAGAATGTTATACAGTACAGTATATGTATACAGTTTTCAAACATTCTTTACACAAAATGACGCAGTGTTTTCAATTGCAATATATTATGCTGTTTTTAGGAGCTTTAAATAATACATGCAGTTACCCAAAACTGATGTTTGTAATCCACAATTATTGTTTGGACTTAACCTATTGCCAAACGTACAGTATCTTCACTGGATTTATGGCTTAAGTACATACTGTAAATACACCAGTAGCTATATAGAAAGTGGGTCTTACATTATACACAACAAGAAATGTATTCAGTTGACTATTGTAAAATATAAAAACCAAATGCAATATAAATTAAATATAAAAGCATTTTTTTTTCCACTGATAAAGATTTTGGTGTCTCCAAAAAACCCCCCGATGCTATCCCAACCTACATCCTACTTCTTTCCTTTTACATAGCCTAACTCATTTCTAATTCATAGCCATTCATTTCTTAATTTTCCATTACTGCCCCTCTTTCTTACTCCACAACCGAAGGTTCAAGCCAAGAGGAATGTTAAAACTATTCCATAACATTTTTTGGGGTCTGGCAATCCAGTACGTTTTAAAAGGCATTATGAAGACAGAGAGTAGTTTTAGAAGAAAACCAGACAGGATATGTTTCTGCCCAAACAACAATGCTTTTCCAGGTCAGGTTAACTTCTTGTGCTTTATACTTTAGGACTGACCATAACAGGTTAGCATGGGGAATTCCAGTTTTAATCTGTCAAACAATTTCTTTCTTTCAAGGCTACGGAGAGGTTGTTTTGTGAAGAAAAGAACTTCAGACTTTTTTTCCCCTGCTGCCTCGACCTCATTTTCATTTTTCTTTTACTGCTCCTGTCAAACAAACATATGATTTCCTAACATACCTCCATATTTCTATTCAATATTTATTATTTTGTAAAAGATCTTACCGGATGTTTAAAAGAAGCACATCCCATGCAATTCCACTTCATATTGAAAATGTATTCATGTATGGCACAATCTGTTTTCAACATCATGCAAATAATTTACCAGCCATTAAACAGACATATGTCCCATGTAAATTCCATATAATAGTTTTTGGTAAATGCAATAAGAAAGACTTTTTTCGAAATTGTTGGACTAAAACCAGCTCCCCTTCTTTTAACACTGAAAATATCCGGGCCTCTAACAACATGGGAATTCCCCCAGTCTGTGTTAAACAGAGCTAAAGAGCCTTCCCCCATCCTCCTACTGTATATCATCTGTAACCTTCGCCTCACAGCTAAATTGAGGACTGTGCAGAAGCACAATCCATGGTGAGTTGGGTCTATTGTTTGCATACATGTAAACATTTGCATTTAATAATGATTTTAATATAGTTTCCTAGTTCTGTTGTTTATCTGTCAACTTTTATGTGCCTGTTCTTGGAAGATAGTGTAGAGCTGCACAAACTTTTGGCATGACGTAGCCATTAAATTCAGAAGACAGCAGGAACAGATACTGTATGTACTGCACTGAATGTAATTCCATGAGGCGTGTGAAATCAGGGTTCAGGTGGCAGAAGAGGTAAGTGGGATTTGTTTATGTCTGCAAGTACAATTTGCTATTACAGTGAATAGTAATTTACTGATTCACTTCTTTGATTCATTTTTGAATCCAAAGTCAGAACTGACAAGCACAATGTACAGTACCTATATTGCACATGTTTAGTCAGTGATTTAGTTTCATAACAATAATTTGTCTGTAAATAGTAATCTGTTTTAACTATAAAAATAATGCATTTAATCTCATGCATTTCTACCCTGAAAGTAATTGTTTATGAATGTACCTCTCTGTTGATTCAGTTTATACATTGTAAAATATACTCAATAGGCATTTGAAGTGAAAAAAGTGGGTGATCTTTACTGACAATTTTTGAGTATTTGTTTCCTGTTTGCATCTATTGCTGTAATTCTAGTGATTGGTATGAGCAATCATTCTGTTTCAAGATCATTTCTATATATTTATATGGGTGGCAATAGCAGTAATTTTCTTATAACATAGAACAGTGAGACAGTACGGAATGTGTTTTCAAAAATAAATAAAATCCTGAGCTAGAAAACAAATACAATATGATGAAGATCTGAGACACATTTATAAAAAGATCAAGAAAACTATAAACTGCAAGGGAATTACCAGGAATGATTTAGATTTTTTTGATGGTATGTTTGAACAAGATAATGAATAGATCTGGTTGTTTTGACAGCTGCTGCTAAACGTTAATGTTATCTGACATTAGTCTGCATGACCTTAATTATTCAGCACATTAAACTGTCAGTATTTTTCCATGATAACTGTTAACAATGCTCTAAAAATATCCCTTTTTTCCATAATTCAGTATACAGAAAGAGAGCTTTTAATTAAAGTAAGTAATCAGCACAGTGGTCCACAAGAATAGATTAAAAAAGGACTTGACAACAAAATTAATCTGCATATATTTCCACAAATGGGTCAATAAAATTATTTTGCTCATTGTTTTCTTAGTAATGACTGCACAAATACATTACCCAAGCACAAAAGCATTTACGATATCCCCATTTTACTTGCATAATCACAGATTATTATAAAACCAAAAACAGCAGTATCTTTACAGAGGAAAAAAAAACATCTAGCTTATTTAAAATATATATATATAATTATTCACTGTACCATAAAGCAAATACAACCAGGCTAGCAAAATGTATATTTTGTAACTCAGGATAATTCATGTCAATACATACGTGCATTACTGAAAACTCACCCCAAATGTCCCAAACAATGCCACTAGTTTCACCAGGTCCTCTTTTTTTAATGTAGAAAGCTTTATTAATGGAGTGCTCATTGAGTTTGAGCAAATTAGAGCTTAACTCAAACAAAATGGTCTGATCACAATCAGCAATTCAGTATTATAAATGTACTGCATACAACCTGTTTTCCCCCAAAAAGCTTTTGGAAAAAAAATGTTCACTTCTGATTGGAATAAAAATGATAATTGTGAGTAAACAGTTTCTTCTTCTCTCCCAGAGTCACCACAATAAGTCTATATTCAAAACAGTCATGAGAAAGGAAATTGAAGTATATAAATATTGAAATATATTAATATTTCATAGCTCCTAGAGAAAAATGCAGAAAATGCAAAAGCAAACAACTCTGCAGAGTTTAATTATCTTACTTATGTAGTGAATGTGTAGATTTTGAGTAATGGTATGGTATTTTAAAATGGTTGACAGACAATTTGGGTCAGCTGTTGCCATTTTAGCTTAATATGTCATTGCACACCTACAAAAAATATTGTGAGGATATTTCATAGAAAGTGAAACCGTATTTATATATTTTAATTGTGATTTCAGTTTTTGATCACGTCTCAAACCTTTTTGTCAAAGTCTTTTCATCACATGCATTACGTCGTTGGTCTTTTAATCAACCTGACTTGACAAAACTAGAATGCAAATACAGGAAAGAAACTATGCAAACGTAAATGATATAAAGACCACATACCTATTAGAAAAAAAATCGAATCAATGTATATATTATTTTTAACTACAGCCCTATTCAGGCTTCAGTCAATGATTTTATTGCCAGTGCTGTGATCGAAGCTATCATGTTAGTAAAAGCCAAACAAAATACAGAAGAACTAAGAATAAATAATTAAGCGTTCTTTTATAAATTAATTATTACTAACACAAGAGGTCACTGTTGTTGTCATATCAAAAAGGTGAAGAAAACTAGCAAGCAAACAGCTATCAAGAAGGAATTTGACGTTTCTTATGAAAATGGATTTTGAGAATCTCATCCTGAAGTACTGTAGTTGATTAGAGTTGTAGGCTACATATTTTAATGTCTACCTTAAAACAAACCCATTTTGTTCAACAATGCCTCAACAAAGACCACGAGTTTTAATCACTTTTTTTTAAAAAAAATTCTGCATTATGACTGCATTCTGTAAAGCCAATGAAGAATATAAATAAAAATCTGAGGGGAAGTGACAGTTTCTGTGTTTCAAACAGGAAATAGAAAAAAGAAGTAGGGGATCCCCAGTCACTTTTTTTGGAGCTCAATTACTAACATCGTTGTTACACTACGAATCCTTACCAATTGTACCGTCTGCTTCATTTCTGTAAATGACAGAGGGCAGATGAATAGGAAACAGTTTTTTTATTTATATTTTTTGTACGGCATATCGAATCGCATAGTACAAGGCAATTAAATTCTATCTTTTTTTTTCTGATTGACAGCCAGGAATAAAGCAAAAAGAGACACCTTTAGTAACTGGACATCCCCTGCTACGACTAGTCATTCAATCCTTCTATGCACTTCAAACATATTGTAACGCAACGGGGGCTCAGGCGGGCGCCCTTGCCGTTACAATATTTTATAATGACCTAATTTCTGGAACAAAAGGGGGCTGTTCTGAATTTGTAAGAGAAATACTACTGTTGTGCTTTTTAATAGCACACGATTTAAAAAAAAAAACAAAACGTAATCTTAAAACCATAAAGACTACTATGTGAAATCTTTTCTTGGAGTTTTTCTTGTAACATTCCAGAGAAAGTACAACATTCCAAGACTTTCAATCCTGTGTTTTGTATGTGTACAAATACAAATGTACACGTTTCTTTACTGGGGTAAACAAAGCACAGATAATTATAAGATAGTCACTTTAACTTAATGCCAGCTGTTTTTTTTATTTGTCATAATACTTAGGTTTCAAATTATCTAAACCCAAGAAGCTTTTTGAATGATTTATTTGATAACACATCTTTTTGAATCGATTGATTGTTTATTAATTCATAATTAATTTTCTACCTGTAATAGTTTTCAAAAGTTAAATGTGCTGAAACTTTCATTAAAATTTGAAACATTTATCGCAAAATGGGAATCATGTATTGAAAGCTTCCCGACTCAGACTTGATTTGTACAGCTTAGTTAAAAGTCCAGGCTTTTATATGGCATAATCCGCCAACTCCAGCAGGATAGTAAATAAATAGGATAGTAAGTAAAAAGCTGTGCATTTTAGGGAAATATGGCAGTATTGTAAAATGAATTAAGGGAATCTATTTGCTGTGCGTCACATCATAAAAGGGATATAAGTTATATATATTTTATATATGTAAATCCTGAGCTGTAACATACCTATCAGAACTGTCTTGAAACAGATCTAGCCCAAGGTGACAAAAATGTGTCGTCTGAGAAACGACAGAAATGAGATGTTAGGAACCAGGCAGCCCTAAATCTATTTTGAAACCATACTGTACATGCAGTTGGAGTGGGAAAAGGTGAGTGGAGACTGCTTCGCACTGCGGTTAGTGCCTGATGGTACATGTCTAGATGACATCGGCAGGCATGGCTTGGACTCGGGATCGGCTGAGGGTGGCCAGCTTGTGACCGCTGAGAGCTCACAGCCGAGGGGTCTGTCAACCCCTGCAGAGGTAAGCGTAGCGCAACTGAATCGGTGTTTTGTTTCGTTTGATTTATGAATTGATCGTGACACGACTTTCCTTTCCTTTTGTAAAAACCGAAATTCGGACGGGGTGAGGTCAGGTCGTACTTTTGTTTTTGTTTTTTTGCAACCACTGTTACACATACTTGACATTGTTAAAGATGGTCCTCCGTTTCCAGGTGATGTGCAGTCGGCTCCTTACGTCACCTTGGGGATTGGCCCTCTTCTCTTTCCCCATTGGTCAGCGGTGTTGTCAATCACAGCTGTTTACATCCTAGGGTGGAAATTCCCAGGTTACAACACGGAACACTAGTACTTCCGTAATCAGTTTGAGAAGTGTATCTCGGAGGGCAGCTTGGAGATCTTAGCACTAGTCGAGACAGGTATGGACTTATTGTGCTCTTTTTAACATTTTCTCTGGATCGAAACAAGCTTTACGATGTGCTCAGTCTTTGCTTTTCGCTTTTCAAGGAACACCGTTACTAAAAACCGCCTGTATCTATCGGCAAATACGTTCGTCAGTGGAAATATATTATGTAATGTGATGGGGTCACCACCAGTATTAACACTTTTTTTTCTTCCCATGTCGCGATAAGATTTACCGTAAAGAATGACGAAACGAAAATATCAAACTTCTGGCAACCTACAGGCAAGGGTAAATGTGAAGTTCAACGTGAAAGTCAGCTTGAAAACCTCAATCAGTTTGCGGCATCTTCGACCTACTGTTGACTACTGTCGGTCGACTGTATTCATCTGAAATAATCTAATTCCAATAATGTGGAAAAAAAATCTCCACCATTATTTAGATCATCTAAAAGCTCTTCATGTTTGTTAAATTACCCTGCGGTTTTAAGGGGCGCTTCCGGAGGTCGTTGCAGTGTTGAACAGAAGTGCAGTGACAGTGCAGTCACCCGCATGTGTTGTGTGTCCTCTCCGCTGTGTGTATCCCAGTAAGGAGTGTGTAGGCTGCAGCAGAAGAAAACTATACATTTTAGACTTCCCCGTGGACTAAAAACTAAATGTCGGAGATATCATCCTTCATTATAAGAATATGCGGAAAGGGGTTTCAAGTGAAGTCTCTGTATGGAATGTGCATGGCATATACTCGGTATTAAAGTACACAGAAGGAAAACCTGTTCTGCGGCGATTTCATTTTGCTTCCTGTACTAAATATGCACTGTTGAGCTGTGCGGTTTAACATTCCCAGACACGCTATTGCTACCAAAATGTATCTGAGAAATGCATACCTTTTATTGAATGACTGTAGGTGTGTGTTGTTACGTATGTCGATCTTTCGCCTGGCTGTGAAAAAACAATAGTGGAAATGTTACGTGACATATGTTCTGCGAGGGACGGAATAGGTCATTTTATTGTAAAGTGACTTGACACCAGAGCTGGAAAACTGCGTGACATGGTGAGAGCCTCACTTAGTGACCTTTTACAAGGATGGGCTTGAGGAAGGCCCCCACCCATTAGTTGACTCGTGCTCCTAAGAGGCCCCCAGACTACAGTCACAATGAAAACTATATTTAGGCTCATTCACATAAAGCTCCCACTGAAAAATCACTAATGGGTGAATCACAGTGTACAGTAGCAGTCAGTGACAGTTAGAGGTCTTTTTAAAGGCATGAATTGTATGTATAGAGACACAATACTGTTTTGAAGTCAATGTCTCACATATTTGTGTAATGTGTTTGTATGTCTGTGTAACAGTAAACAGAAGAATGATAAATGGTGAAAATGAAGTTGAAGTATACCCCAAATATTTCATTTGTGTGAACCTTTTCTGTTGTCTAGCTTACTGTGTGGCATTGCTCTTAGTGCTGTTGGAAATATACATTTACTAATAACATATAACTCATTCAGTCATAGTACGTTCTATGCTCTGTATAAATTCTATATTTGGGTTTCTAGACCCATAAAATTATGTAGTCCTTGTCCCTTCCTTTTGTTCAGCCCATTAGAGTTTTGAAGATGTGGGTTTTATAAATACACTCTTTAGTTTTTAGTATGGGTAAGACTATTGTGCTCGACAGTTTCAGCTTGCCTAGAAGTCCTAGGCAAGATAATGGCCGTGGGCATGTGCATGTTTGTATATGATGATGTTTCCTTCAGCTGTCATGGGATCTGTCTGGGATCAAGGCTTTTTCTATTGCCAGCTGGTTGATGTAAAAAAAGATAGGTGATTGATCCTTCCTTTGTTTTTAGCTATGTTATTATATGCTTTATGTTAGTGAGCGGAACTGAATTCAATATAGGCATATGGTTTTAGAAAAAAAAATAAGAACAAACTTGTATTCAGCTATCAGAACAAGCTACGTGACATTCTTGAGTTTTTCCAGTGGATTGATGTCGCAGTGATAAAATTCAAAATGAATATTTCAGCTTTTCTTTGCTCTGGGGTCTTGAAATGCCCTCAGGATGTCAGATGATAATGCTTTGTATGTCATTGATCTTATCTTGAGGTTTTTCTTCACATGACATGACCTCGCACCATCTAAAAAGATGCAGAAGTTTCCATACTAGACTTCAGAATGCCCTGCTGTCCAAAATAGCAGTCAGTGTAAATCATCTGTAACACTTTCATGCTGAACACTTGCAATTTACAGAATTGCAGACCTAATTCTGAATGAAAAACTTGGCATATGATTCACCTGGTGCTAGATTATGTGCTGAGTTCACATTTTCTGAAAAGTTCAAGTGGTCTGCTGACTGATTTAAATCTCAAACACTCTACAGGGAACGAACTTTGGAGGTAAAAGAAAATGTATGTGCTAAAATAATATGACAGTTTTTGATTAGTAGGATAAAAGAACACAGTTTGGAACGCCATTTCAGTGAACCAGCAAGCCTTCTCAAAGTACACAACGTCAGAGCTGTGCTGCAAAATGTATTCAAATCATTGACTGTAAATAACCTCACTAAAACTTGTGAACACAGATTCAAATTAGATATTCTCTGAATCATCTGTAATGTAAATTGCCATTAGGTAAAGTGAAAATTCACAACAAAAGGATATTATGATATACTGTAAAGACAACAGGTTTCTGCCACTTAGTTTTTAGCCCTCATTTATTGACCAAAAAAGTACCAGATAGATCTTGTTATAGTTCTTTGGGTGTGTTTGTAGGTTAGATTGTGTGAATGCCTTCTAAGTTCTTGAGACCATTTCTCTACCACTTAGTCTGGATGTGCCAGGCATTTTCAGTTGTCTGCATTGCCTTATGCCTGTGTTGGCATAATTTGATGATCTAGTCAAATCCCCAAATAATTTCAGATGATGACATTTCCATTATAGTCATTATCATGAGTCTAAAATCAGAGATTGCTGGTTTCTTGCAGAGGTGTAGCATGTATGTTGTTGAAGGTCTTCTGCTCCACTTCTTCTCTCCATTGAAATATTAATACTGGTATCACATGGGTTTTGAATACTGCCTCCACTTGTTAATTGTTTCCCTTCGGTATTGAGTGGAGCTAGTGATTTTAGAGTACCTTTGGGAACTTGGTTTCTGGAACCTGCTTGTGTCACAGCACAGTGCTTTCAGTTTATGCACTGTATACACAAATGGTAAACAGCCTTACTTCTTGTGTTCACATTAAATACAGTATTTTCTTCACTGGTGACGTGTGTTGTTTTCTTCAGGTCTGTTTTAGAAATGACGAACCTTGCTGTTGTCATTCATTTTCCATACTGTTTTTCCTTCAGCGGCTTTTTTTTTTTAAAAAAAGAGTCTGCTTTTCAGTTGTGTGCCCTGGGTTTTACTTCAACATTTTCTCTTCAAGACCGCTACATCAGCTATCACGCTATAATATTTTCAAAATGACAGTTTTTTTTGCACATACAGTACCTGTATTAATCATACAGTGCTGCAATTCCTGTAATTACCCTCATGAAGAAAAAGAGGAGAGAAAAAGAGCAGTCTCATTTCAATCAGAGAAATGTAAATGACTTTCGGGTGTAACCTTTTCTGCTTTAGTTTTCAGAAATTTGATTGAGTTTTGTTCTCGGTAATTCTGTTAATATAAAGAAGAGTTTTTTATATTGTGTAAAGGGCATACTGTATGTTTACTTCAACTACGTTTCTTTATTAACTTCCAACATCTAGTCTGATACTGAATCAACAAAACCTGTTTGGTTACTCCTGAGAAGCTTTGGTAGACAGGTCAGTGTACATCAGTTAAACTTTAATTCAAGTAGGTTTCATGATTATTATTATGTATTGATTTTCGTTACTCTGGGAGAAGTTCCTGTAATCTTCATCCTGTGCCTGTCTATAAAAAAGATTTTCAAAAACTCTAAACTTTCCCAATAGACATCCCAAAAATGAAACCCAGTGCAGCAGCAGTTTGGTCATGCCTGCAGACAGAAGTCATATTGGATACTTAGATGACTAAAATGGAAACTGAGGGTACAAATAAGAAATGATTATTATTTTTTTTTTATTGTCAAGATTCCCATCCATGCATTTTTATATTTTAATTGTCCAGGAGGGAAGAATTTGCCTTTGGTGGATTTGCTTGAGTATTATTTTGGTTTTATTTGATTTTATTGATAAACTGATATATACTCTACTAGACAACAAGCACAAATGCATTTGAATTTCTGACAACAAGCACACGTCCTTCCCAAAATGTGCTGCCTCTTTAGGCAGATGGAACAGTAACTATTGTCTACACTTGGAAATATAACCTTATGTGGGGAAAAAAGACCAGTGATGTCAGATATTGTGGGAAAACAAGAAATCATGAGATAAGATTGTATGTGAAAAGGGATTTTTTTTTCTATTTTCCCATCCCCAGACAAACTGTGATTGAATCCTCAGTTCACAGACTAAGTTTGAAAAGAGAGCATGGAGGATTTTACATTTGAATCCTCAGATGTGTCACAGTTCCCCAAAGAATAGCAGACAGCGTAATATACTGATTTCCTCCAGTTTATCCGTCTTGTACAAATAGTAAGATTTGGGTCTTCCAGGATTACCTAGTGATGTAGAATCTTGATGTAATCAGTAACCTATTGCTTAGAAAGGGCATGTTTAGTTTTGGTTTCATTTGCTTATAAAATGAAGGAGGAGAGTCCCATCTGTTTGCTCCTTGATGTTTTTCTGATCAATACTTTACAATTGCACACTTGGCAAAGATAAGTAACTGGAATGCTCACAAAAGGAAATGACAAATTCGGCAGTGAGTTCTTAAAAATAACTCTGGAAGACTTGCTTGCAAGCCATGATTTTGAATTAAGGTTATCTAAAGATGTGTATATATATAGTGTAGCTGATGTTATTTATGATAATTATTGACTAAGCAGCTGATACAATCAGGCAACGTCTATACTGACATTTTATTTGCTGAAATGAAATAACAATATTGGTATATGGTGTTAATTATATATTATATTGGTCTGTATGTATATATACTTTACCTAATGAAACATAGTCACTTATATTACCTTATTTGGATAACATAATCCAAGGAAAACATAATCACTTGCAGTATGGGAAATACATTTCTCTGCTACATACAATTATTTCAACCATCTGCACTTCTAACATGTAATATAAAGTGTTTGTGCCCACGGTATGAAGTAAAGGATTTAAGGTAAAACTTAACAATAAGATTCCAAATTTTTATGTAGTGTATACTTTTCCTATGAAGTTAATATGAATTGCACTTTAGGCTATCATGTATTCAAGTGCTATTCATATAACTTCTCCCGTTCCCCATAAATTAAACACCCACTAATTGTAAAGGCTTACTCGATTTCATTTCCAAAATGATGAAATCGTGGTGGCAAGTCAGACTGATCCTTTCTTGGGGGAAGGCTGAGCAGGCAATGGGGGAGGAGACATATGATGTTTCAGAGCAGAACAGTTTGCCTTTACTGCCTACATCATACCTGCATACTCACCCACAGAGAATATTTTTGTAATGTGATTGTTTGCATTTTTTGCAGGCTTGCATAAACCATTTTAATTGCTTGCAAATCACAAGATATCAGATTTTCCATTGTAGTGGAAACCTTTTTTTTTTCTTTTTAAGGTTGCCTGCAGGTAGCTCAGGCCCCCCACTCATTTTATTTTTTACATACAGTACGTGCTACCACCGCAGGGTCTGTTGCTCATCACGGGGGAAACTCAGAAGAGGATTACACTGAAATTCGCTTCATCCTCATGGGCACATAGTTAACAGTGTTAACAGTGTGTCCGTAAGGGGGTGGATGTTCGCTGTTGTTGACTTACCAGCCATTAGCTTTGCACGTTCAGTTCTTGGTGGTTCACGGTGTTGTCATGGATTATACAGCATTTTGTTCTCGAACGGCATTAGTCAAAATTTGCAGGAGCTAAAATGTATCTCCAGAGATGTTCACGTGTAATATGTTGCAAATAAATGTGTACAACAAGCAGGGATGGTAGAGGAACGTAAAAGATCTCAGTTACTGTACTGGGCCCTGCTCCTCCCCACTGGATATTCATTCCCGTCAAGAAAGTTCGCGGTGGAATGGCCTGTTCAAGTCACTGTGTGTAAAATGTGCCGATTGAACTGTTTTCTCTTTTTTTTTTTTGGCTTTTTCAGTGCGTTCCCCTACAGGATGCTTTGTAAGTGAACAAGCAGTCAATGGAAGGGAAAGGGCCCTATCGCATTTACGATCCCGGTGGGAGCGAGCCGAAGGATGAGGCGAGCAGCGTGACCTACCGCCAGCTGCTGGAGGAGAACTGCATGCTGAGAGAGAGGATGAAGGGGCTCAAGAGCCTGGGTACTGCAAGACTGCCGCTCGTCTCCGGACACCTGTCACGCCAACCTAACCCGGCGGTGGAGCGATTTGTAGGGGAACGAAATAACAAGATCTTCTGCTCCAGTAGAATGGAAATGGGAAAAAAAAAAATCCACTATCTAGCGAAGATAGTCAAGAGATTTATTTGTTGTATTCCATCCTTATTTCAGAAATGATCTTTATATTCCTTAAATTTTTACTGAATTTCTACAAAAAACGAATTCCTTATATATGTGGAAATTTGTTTGTGATTGGTATCTTATGTGTCAAAGATTTTTTAGGCCTGTGGTTATGGCCAGAAAACTAAATTTATCCTAATGGCATATAAATGCATACAGTTAAGTTGTTGTATTATGTAGCATAGACATTCTATTATTCTAGCATAATATTCTATATTCTTCTATACATTCTATATATTATAGCATTTTATCTTATGCATCTGTTATTATTTTTATCATAGGAGACCTGCTTGAAGAATCGCAGACTGAGGCATCTAAACTCCGTCAAAGAGTGGAAGAGCTTGTGAGAGACAATGAGATCTTGAGGTCCTCATCCAGTTTCAATTCCGCTGTTGGAATTGCCCTTCCTACGCATGCTGAAACACAGGGTAGGCCAAGGAACATAACAAACACACCGGGACATGCTGTGTTTCAATCGTTCACATGAAAGGGCTCTAGGCTCCTCAGTGGGTTAGAAAACATGCGTCGCTGCTGCAAAGCTCACACTCAAATTATCAGGTACAGGTGCAGTTCATAGCAAAGCCAGACAGTTCTCGGGTGACGTAGCAGATGCTTTTCTGAAAAAACAGCCATTTTTTGTTTTCCTGTAAGATAGTGGGGTTTCCTCGTTTAAAATGTTTACATGGTTGTCCCAAAGTTATTTTTTAAACTAATAATTTGTTAGCCTAAAGGGAAGACTTGTTAGAGGTTGTGGTGAACAGTGTGGAAAGTGTATGAGTAATATGTCAAGATGTATTTGAACAATGTAAGGAAAGTAGTGGCAGGAAGAACACTGAGATGAAGATTGCCCAACTGCCTGTGTACCAGTCAAGCAACACTATTAATCCTGGCAGGAACCTGGGCACACACAGTATATATAGCTTTTAACATAATGCCAAATTTCCTGTGTTCAGTTGTGTTACGGTGCAAACTACTGGAGTCCTGAAGAAAGAAGTGATGTATGTTTATAAGGCATGTTAAGCCAAATTTTGTTGTTAGATCCTGTACAAGGGGATATGCTAATCTTGACAGTCTATTGTGTAAACATATTAATGTCTTGAATGATGAAAGTGTATAGTAGCACATACTTATATTTACTGACAGGTACCATATTAATATATCTATTAGTGTAAAATAAGTTTCATGTTCTTAAGATATGTAAAACCTGTATCCTTAGAGCTGTATTACTTTTTTTTCCCCATGTGGTGTGTACTTATGCGTCTTTCCTTGTTTCCAGTCCAAGATGAAAGTTATGGAGAGAATGCAGGATTGAAGGAAACCCAGGAGTGTCAACCAAGAAGCAGACAGAGACCTGCATCCAGTGTAAGTTATTCTCTTAGTCTGTTTTTTTTAGTATTGTGAGGTCCTCCTATTCATTTTAGTCACATAAGAGCCATTTACATTTTGTTTTTAGTAATTGCAGTTTTTTCTAATTATTTCAGGAGGGCTCTTCAGAGTTTGAAGTTGTGAATCTTGAAGAAAGACGTGGTTCTGATGAAGAAAACAAGTCAGTAAGTACTCTAATACCTGCTGTTTTGAGGAATTTGGATTTTCCCTGTTGTGTGAAACATACACTATTGCAACACCACTGACTTTCACAACTTCACTTTCTTTTAGATTGCAAAATTGATCTGATGTTATGATCTCTTATCAATACTTTATGGCCTAATTGTGACAATACCTGGGGGAAAAAATGTGTCACAGGAAACCAGTTACTATGCCAGCTTTGTTTTGATGACGTTGCAAACGTTGTGCAACCAACGTTTTCAAAGTATTAATGAGTGCTGCTGGCTTGTGTTTGCTGGTCACATAGGACATTGTTATTCTAGGAAATGTAGCCAAGTAAGCAGTTCAGTTCGGTTTAAACATAATTACGTAATTGTTCTTTTTCCAACAGTTTTAATGCATTCAGAAAATCAGCTTCTCTTTTTTTAAACAGTATTAAAAGGTTTTAAATCTGAATTAAATGCACAATAATGCCTTAAGCCTAAATTACTCATGTTTTTTTGTATATGGATTTCCAGTTTTCCCTTTATATGCGTATGGAGCAGCAATTACGCCATGTTTAGACTTAACATGGTGCTTAGCTCCTAAAACTTGCTAGCTAAATATGGATTTAGGTTTGGTCACTTCTATTTGAAGGTATGTAAATGATAAGTTAATTACAGCAGCAGTGGTGCAAACCTTCACTGTATAACAAAACTGTTTCTGTAAGTTTAACAAATACATTATACTCTTCTCAATTAACACACATTATACACCTCACCGAATGCGAAAGTGAAAAAACTGCAGAGAAAGGTAAAGCTATTTAGTATTCATTAATTAAATTAATTATACATTTAATTTATGTCAGGAGTCCCAGGGATCGCATTTCCTTATTTTAAACTATAGATTCAGATGGCCATTTCTTTGTAAAAGCCTGTGAATCACACAAGTTTCAAAATAGAATCACTGTTTAGAGTGAGATTCCGATATTAAGTAATACTTCAGCTACTTGTTTAATATCGTTTATCCCTCTTGTTGACTCACATAAGTTTTGTTTTACACTGAAACTGCAATTAGGCTGATAAATGATGTGTGCAGGGTGATGATCATGTCATGAGGTATGCCGTTTTGGATTTTTGGGTTCACTTACAGCTCGTAGAAGAGCAGCACTGTAATGAAAGGAAACGATTGGTCCAAATCTGTCTTTACTTTTATTAATGAAGTTTCAATTTTAGATTGTTTCCATAGTTCTTAGTTGTACGGATTATAGAGATGATCTTGCATGTAAAATACTTTTTTGGAGATGAAAAATATAATGATTTTGTTTTTACTAACTACTAAACTTTGTGGGTTTGGTTTAAATCCTTTTATCTGTCTCATGGAACGTCACAAAATAACTTCAGACTCCAGTACCTCAAATTAAACGAACTCAAACTGTTTGAAAATAAACATCGCATAATTTCCCATAAATAATAACAAACTGCGGTCAGATAGTCTAGCACTCAAAGGAGAACAGAGCGTTAATTTGATTACAGATTACCGAGGGTCTTTCAGACACTGTGGTAGACCTGTGTTTCAGTTTACAATAAATATGCAGCGCGTTATGAAAGTTGTTGAATGCTCATATTTTAAAGGTACCACGTCATTTCATAGGTTTCTTCTGAAGGAGATAGTGAAGTGTCCGAGGAAGCACTTTTTATCTGAGCGCTTCAGAAGACTAATAAAGATGGTGTTTCAATCTCTGTCATGATCCTGAGTCCTTGACAGCTGTTTCTCTCATTTCTTTTCTTATTTTAAAGTCTCTTTTTCAATGACTCAGCAGTGTTATATGACAGCATTAACATGACTCAGGGAAATTCCCCAAATTAAGCCATTAAACAACCAAGCGATGTTTTGTGATTCATGAAACCTGTTCTTCACTGGGAATGTCTGCTTGGGAAGACTAGTATCACAAAAATTTTAGGAATGTTCTTTTGAAATCGATATATTTTACGTGGCTCTTCTAAATAGATTGGTGTATTTGAGTATATAAATACTTGGTCAAAGGCTGGTGAATACAGATCTCAGAGACAATATATTTTTGTGCCAGTTATCTTGCATAGGTGTCACTGTATAAATGACCATTGTTCTGAGTTATGTGAAAGTCAGAAGTTTAGAATTTGTTCCACTTTTTCATATATTTTAACTGTTTTGTTAATGTACACTGCTGTGCAGAAGTCTTCAATATCCTGAAAACAGACAGGAGTTACATTATATGTATGTTTTACGCATCGATAATTTATTCACAACTCCCACTAGTGTCGTCTTCCATCATAACAGCTTTGATTATAATTAAGCACAGTTTAGATTAGGTGAGAAGAAGCCAAGTTTATTAAGCTATCTTTTATTCACATTAATCATCATCAAGGCACATTATACATCACTGCCAGTATGAAGTGCTGTGGTAATATCATCACATTTACCAGTCAGATCTGTTTGACTCATTGTCATGTGTTGCTTGTTATTAACATCATTTGTTCCTCTCTTTACATACATAAAGTTACAAGGCTGCTTTTTATCTGTTATTGTAAAATAAAATGTCTCTACGTTCAATTGTTTCTGCATAAGGAAAATTGAGTTTACAGAGCAGAACAATACAAACATGTCGAATCATAATTCAGAATTTCATAGTTTCTGATATTGCTCTTCTGTTGCAAAAGTTTGTCTAGTTAGAAATGTCTTAATGTTTTGTGTTACATTACTGAAGATATGATATAGAAATTTGGTTGTATTTTAAAAGGCTGTGAGAACACATTCTCTTCCTGAAACTTAAAGCATGAAAACTAATGTAAACGTAGGGTTAAATAATTAATACCTCAGCCAGCTGTCTGAGTCTTCCTCTTTTAAAGTGTGTACAAGTTGTGTTCTTCTAGTATTGATTCTAAGCAGCATTTAAAGATTTTAGATTTTGCATTTTTGAATGGCGTTATGTTATCTTCCCAGGGTGCAATGCTTCAGCTGCCACAGGAGAATGCGGAGCTGGTCAGCCAGCTGCAGAAGCTGGAGAGTTCACTGAGTGTCTTTGCAGAAGAGTCCAATAAGAACCAGCTGCTGACACATCTGGGGCGGATGGCACTGGAGTTTAACCGGCTGTCCTCTAAAGTACAAAAGAATGAGCAAAAAACATCACTTCTTCAGGTAAAAGAACAATGTCAGGAATAGCCTGTTCAGATCTTTAGATTTCAGATCTTTACATTTTTATATGCAATTTTTATTATAATTACTGCTAAAAGATGAATAATTGCGAATGTAGCATATGTACCTCTTGTTTTAAGTTCTTACTTATGTAAGTATACTTAGTACTTCATAGTATGTATCAGTATTTGATCTGTCCCGAACTAGATCAAAACTAAACAGATGAAAAATAAAAGGATTTTTGTTTTTAGTATAAGATTGGATCTCATTAATGGACAAAATTCAAAATATGTTAGAACATTAGAATGGTTTTAAATGGCAGAAGGACATGTGGTCCAACTACCCCTTTATGGTAGTTGGTAATTTATTGGTTCAAGCTGTACCCAAGAATTTCTTAAGTTGTATTATGTTTTTATTAAAAACCAAAGACATTAAAAATTTGGAAACATCCAAACTTCAGTTTTAACTAAGAGTTTAATTTGATTTGCCATGCAGACCCTATGTGAACAGCTAAGACAAGAGAATACTGATCTGCGGAGGAAAATGGAAGAAGATCTTCAGTACAGAAACCAAGACTTGGAGGAGCTTAGGTTGGCTTTTCTATTTAAATGTACTAATGTAAAGGAAACTATACTAGAAATGAGTCCATTACAATGATCAGCATCACAGGTGGTCATTTAATTTTAAGGAATTAGTGTTGTCATTAGAGCCTCAATTGAGAAATCGTATGAGATCAGCTACTGTAGAGAATCTCAGAAATACATACATCCCTTTTATTCTCTTGGCAATAAAAACATTTTTTACAGAGCGTCTTAAAAATTGGAACAGAATTCATGGAACAGGTTTTTGTTTTAATTCTTCCATCGATCGATTATTAGAAAGCTGCTTCTTCTTGTTAATGATCCCAGCAGTTTGTTCTGTATCCCAGAAGCTTGGGGCACATGGTAGGGATCCAGGCTGCCTGGATGAGACGACAGTCCATCACAGGGTGCACACACAAACTGGATACACATTAAAACACCAAGTAACCTAGCCAGCATGTCTTTGGGAGGTACAAGTACCACCTGAATAATAACCCATGTGGTTGTAGAGAGGGGGACATTCAGGCAGCAGAGCCCCCTCACATGAGTGCAGATATTCTTTCAATACATTGTGCATAAAGCAAGATTAAGTCCTTAGAACTATTTCCTTCTTTGTGTGGCATTTGAAGAATCACACAAATATATATATATAACACTGAGGTTTGATGAGTATCAGAGAGTTAGTTGTATCTTTGTATTGTGACATACTGACCACTAAACTAAACCCACACTGCTTTCTTAAAGATGTGTTTTTTTTCTGATAAGTCAGGAAAAATGACATTTGTAGCTATTCTCAATTGCAATTATGTAGCAGGTTTCTAATGCCAATAAGACAAGTTATGTAAGTGATAATCATAGTGCAGAGCACTGGAAGTCATGGTCACATGAAAGACTGAAATAGTGTTGAGTTCACAGTTATAGTACTGGTCTGAAGCATGCTTTTGCAGGGTCTTTCCAGACAGATACCCCTGCTGATTTGAAGAGCGAAACAAATAGTTCAACAAAAAATGGAATCCTTGGTATTTTCTTCTCTACCTTACCCAGTTGATTTTTTTTTTCTTTTGGTTTTGCTCATTTGCATTCTAGGCAGGAAAACCTAAAACTGAAGAAGCTTGTGACTGGCTCAGATGAGCAGAAGGTAGGGTTGCAGTTTGGATCCAAGCAAGATGTACTGAAACAGGAACCTGTAGGTGTAAAGATGGAAGTGGCTCTAGTGCAACAGGTAAACTCAGCTTTCATTTACATTTACATGAGCGCAGTGGCATTTGTCTGCTATTTGAAGTGTTAGGACAGACCTTGTTTAAATCAGTATTGACTCTATTTTACTTTTGTTTCAAAAGTGTATGAATTTATTAAGGTGGTTCCATGTTGACTAAGATCATATTAAGACATTTACTCTAAATAATATGCTGTATGCTCTCTTAACCATTCGGTAATAGGTTTGGAGGTTTCCTTGGTTCATTAGTCTGTCGGCAAACCTGAGCTTTTTGACAGAGGTAATCAGGTTTTTGCCAAAATACCTGATATAGTTTGGAGTCCACCTATTCCAAGTTTCAAATGAAGGAAAAATATCCAATTTTGGGCTTCACAGTAGGGGATATTTTTCTAAATGAGCTTCACCTTAATGAGCTAATAATTACCCCCTAATGAGACTAGCAAAACCTATTCTTACAAAAAATGATTTTAGCCAGTTGTCCACATTATTCCATTCGACTTGGGAATCAGGTATTTTCTTTTTATGCTGTCATGAAACTCTGCCACAGACCAGGAATTAATGAAGCGAACTCCAATAGTCTTAGAGACACTGATCCTGATGATATCAAGAGTTTTATAAACATGAGTTATTAATGCACCACACTTTTGTGACCACACATTGTGGTAGAACGTCCTTCCACTGTGTTTCTGGTGGAATATCAACCATCCCATTAGCCTGGACATCTTGACCACACACACTACAGCTGATACTTGGATGTTGGGTGAATTTATATAACTCGTTCTTATAGATTATTGACTTCAACAGTTCCAAAAATTGATAAAAGATAATCCTTTTCTTTGCATCTTTTAACAATTCTCAGCTTTCCCTCCCTTTGAGGCATGTGAAGTAAAAAACAAAAATCCAGCACAATTTTCAGCCTGTGGGGTTAAGATTTTCTTTAAAATATTATTGGAATAGAGGTAACCTACTCTGTCCTATAAAGAACTAAGATTAAAACATTTATGAGAGGTACACTGTATGCAGAGATTGGTATTAATAACTGATATCAGTTGGTTAACATCCATATTCAACATCCATGCAAAATGCCTCATACATATAGATAAGTAGTTAAAAAGTACCCTCTGGTATGCAAAGATTAGTTTACAAAGTTCTAAGTCTGATGCAGAGACTACCTTTACATGGAAAACAATTGTACTATGAATCACCATGTTAACATGTGCATCTGCTTAGTATACCCTGAATTTGGAATATAGAATAAATTCACTTCCTTATATTGTTAACACCACAAAGGTTTTTTCCACCACATTCCTTATCTTAAGATTCCTGTAAAGCTATGCATGAATTGTCCTTCCTTTTTGTTTTCCTGTTTTACAAAGTGATATTAAGATTAACTGTAATATTTCCCCTGTTATGATAAAAAGGTTTTACATATAATTTTTTGTGAATCTGTCACTTTTCTTTGTAATTTAGATTTAATACATCATAAATCTTTAGCTTCTTATCTTTACTGTAAGGAAAAAAGTCCTTTTTTATTTTATACATCATATTGTTACTGTGTATCACACTGTTGCTAGCCGTTTTATGTCACCTTTAGTGGAATTTGTAGGTATTTTCATACTAACGTGAATTCTGTATCTTTAAGAAGTTCGAAATTTCAACAGTAAAATAGGATAAAGAGATGGAGGTTGCAGCTCTTCTTCTAGATAGTCAAAGCACCATCTTCAGTGAGTTCTGAATGCTCCATTTGGACTTTGTTTTGCCTAATTAGTACAGGTTACAGAAGGGCACTTTCCAAGCCTCCAGGACTATGGTTATCCAAGATGCGGGTTTGAAAACCCGTAAATAAATCATATTTAGCTCTGGTTAAAAATATAGAAAAAACAAATATTGGAGGTCAGAATGTGCTTGTATTTAGTTGTGTTGTTTGGTATATGCTTTAGGGTGGCAAAGCAGTGGAGAAGTCAGAATCCAAGAGCTGTGATCCAGAAGTGTATGAGAAGAAGATAAAACTCCTGGAAAAGCAGAGAAAAGATGTAAGAGAACTGTATATGTGATACCCATTTTTCGCACGTTACTTAGCTCTTAGTGATGTTTACTGAAACCCTACTTTGTAAGAGAAACTTTTCTCAAGATTCATAGTATCTTCTATCGGAGCTGGTTTGTCACGGAGCTGAAATATAGTCTTCCCTTATTCTTACAAAACAGTTTCTGACACCATGGAGTTTGATTCATATTTAACTGCATGATGTCTTCAGACCCCAATTTAAGTTTAAATTGCTTTGATTCTTTCAAATCATGTCTCCAAATATTGGTAAATTTGTAAGAAAATGTTTTGCAACATTATTTTGACTATCAAGAAAATTATATTAAGTATTTTAAAGACATACCAAATTACATGTTTCAGTGTCTAATTCACATAACAACGGTTACAGACAAAAGGAGGCCATTCAGCCCATGTGGCTCACTGCTTCTAACCTCTTTCTTTACAGATCCCTCTTGTTAATATTTTAAAACCCGTTCACTTTTGTTGTTATGATTTCACGGACGATCAGGTAAATATAGGTAATAACAGGAGCGACTGTATTGTTTACTGTAATTAATATATCCTTAATTGGATATGCTTCCGTCTTCAGACTGAGCACTCAGAACTTGTTTTTGCTGTTCCAAGAAGTCTGTTCTCTTCTCATGTCATATTTTGTTGTGTTTGCTGCAGGTACTGGAGATAAATAAGCAGTGGGATATACAGTGGAATTCCATGAGACAACAGTTTGAACAGAAGGTTAAAACACTTTTATGTCCATTTCCTGTTTTTGTGTTCTATGTAATGTTTTGAGATATTAATTTGCTATAATTGCCTCTTGGTTAGGCATATCGCAGTAATGAATTCATTGAAAAAGGAAATCTGGTATTTTTTAAGTCTGTGTAAATTTAATATAAAATGCTGGCAACTGAAAGGTGAGCTGCTCATGCATGTAAATGTAATCTTTTCATATATTGTATATTTCTGACCCTTTTCCTTCAATTAATTTGTTAATGCTTGTTTTTAATGGTGAAAAGCTGTTTTTTCTTTCCCACTTGAAGATTTAGATGCGTTGAGTTGCATCATTATTAAATTTGCAAAGAAGCAAGCAAAGGTTAATTCCATACTAAAAGAAAGTTACTTGAAAGTATGTGCTCTTTTGCTGCCAAAATGCGCTGATGCAGCTCTCCACTCACCTCAGCATTTGTGGGGGGTCAGTGAGATGCTGGTGAACCTTTGAAAGTTCTCTGAAAGAGTTGCTCTACTGATCTGCTGTGCACAATTACATAACATCCAGGTTTAACTCTTGCCACTGAAAAAATGTTGCCGCAAATAAAAGGTCCAGTGCATTTGCTCTGTGTGCCATCTTCCCTTTCATCCTGCTGACAGATGACGCTGATCATCCAGATGTTAAGCTACAGAGTTGATCTTAAAAGCCTGAGAAACATAATTACTGGTTTTTATCATCTGCAAAAATAGGCAAACTGCAACACTCTCAAGTACATTTTGATCAGATTTTGGTCTTTATATACCTAATCCTACTAGCAGTGGAAATTGATGATCTGTTAGATACAAAGCATCAGAATTTGGCAACCACAGTGCCAGCCACAGGCCTATGCAACACCTTGAGCAGAATTTCCCTAACCTCTTGTGTACCCTCTTGTCTTCCTGTTGTGGTGAAACCTGGGGCTGGCCAGGGTTTCACAGTGCTCCGAAGGAACAGCCTTTCATCTCTAAAATTAATGTATGAAAAACTTCGACTTCGGCTTGCAACCGGAAACCTGTTAGCTTTTTATATGTTCTCTCACGTCATTACTTCTGTTGTACACACCGTATCAAAGTGTAGAAAAATGACACATCTCTCGGGTACCATAAAAAAGCATCTTCATTTCATTTCCTTAACCAAGCCAGTATGACATGTTTTCTTCCATGATAGACAGCCTTGGTGATTTGACATCAGCTCCTTTTTTTTAAGGCGTTTCTGAAAAAATACTGCAGAAGAATATTATTCCTTAGAAGAATAACTTGATGTGTAAAAGAACACTTACATATGCGTGTGTTGCTGTTTTAGTAAATTACATAGATCAGACTGGGAATTTTTTTAAGGTTGAAGGGTTTTTTTTAAGCAGTGAATATTTCCTTCTCCAGATCACTGACCTGAGGCAGAGACTAGCAGATTCCCAGAAAGCAGTGTCTGAGCTGGAGGCTGAACGGGAGCAGAAGCTGAGGGACTATGACAGGAAGCTCTTACTGGCCAAGTCTAAGATCGAGAATCTGCAGGTGAGAACTCACAATCGTGACAGAGGTTGTAGTTATTACTTCCTGCGGAACTTTTTTCCCCCAGTGGTGGGTATTGGTTGCTTTTGGTTTTGGGCAGGCCTGCAATCTGAACTCTTTCAATCCTACAATCTGTAAGTTTATACACATAATTTTGAGCTACAATAAGGGTAGTGTCTGTGATGGGGCAGAAGTTGAGATTGTGATAACAGTGAAAAATTGTCTTTGTGGTCAGTGTCGATCCTTGAATTCAAAATCTTGATCTTACAATTGGCTTTTAATCATAAACGTACAGCATGGTTATGTTAACAACAAGTTTTTAAATGTTAGTTGATCAACAGAACCATCCCTTTTTGTTTGCATGATTTCCCTTCCCTACTTTTCCCTTACCTTAATCGCCCTGTAGTAATACAAGGTGTGACAATCTAGATAATGGTTTGCCTCCCGCTTAATGGTCTCATTCTTTTCAACATAGAACATGGTGTGGTTGCCTGATTTGATTGTGTTCTCTGACCTAAAGTTTATGACCTGGAACCCCCTGTACTTTCCCCAAGCTGGACTTCATATCCCATTGTCAGAGTTTAGGATTCTTACCACAGGAATTACCCTTGAGGAAATATCTGTTATCAGTGGATAACACCACAATATCAGTTGCATAGCCTCTTTCCAGAAATCCAGTTATTTTTCTACCGAAGCAGAAAAGCCTTTATTTGTTTAACTGTGTCTGAAGATCTGCACTGTTGTTGTTTTGAGGTTCAAGAAAATGTATGTCCTTTATAATGTGGACCTTGTATGGACCCTGGTCTTCCGCGGTACATTTCACTTGCATCCCATGGAACATATAATTTCACATTGCCCTATGAAGTCTGTAAATGTACAATAAATACAAAAATAGTACTTTATTGTCATGTGATAGTGTACTCTGCATGATAATTTTCTGTCACTTTGATAATCATAGAGAACGCAATTTGAAAAAAAACTGTATCGGAAGGAAGGCCGTCTCTGTGCTTTTTGCTTGTTGTAGCTCAAGCTTGTCTTTTGATCGTCTCAGGCAGAGAAAGAGCGGCTAACTGCAGAGGTCACTGATCTCAAACATAAGATGAAGTACGTCCAGGACCAGCTAACACCCCTGACCAAGCAAAGGGAATATCAAGAAAAGGAAATCCAGCGCTTAAACCGGGTAAAACACTGCACCACTGCAGCACCTGTGCACACACATGCAATAAATGGAGATAATAGTCGCTGCATTCTTTAACCACCCTGCACCTGTGGATGGAGGTCACAGCAGAATAGAAATACCACAGCTCTGTCTGAAAAAGGAGTGATACAGAGGAGGGATAAGTAAAATGTAGGACAGTGATGAGTAAGAAACAGGGCTGTTTGAGACACAACAAGTCTGAATTTAAGATTAGTCATCCCCGATGAAGGCCTTGGTTGTCTCAGAATCCCCTGCTGTGGGAGTTTTGTTGCCTTCTTCTAGAGTAAATTCTTTCATTCCAAGGGACCTGTGTCCTGCGAAACTTACAGTCCAGGCTGATGGTCTTTGCCTGCTAGGCTTCTCTATCCCTGCAAACATAACCAAGCACTGTGCAAAAAAAACAATTCTATAAATGGGAAAACTACGAAACATTCTGCTTTTTTTTACTTTTACACATGAGCCATCTGTACTCTAGTCGCTTCTATGGAAGCCTGTTTCCGCCAGGGAGTAAAAAAAAACAAATGCTCTATGGTATCTCAGAATTCCGACTCCATATCTCGCAATTGCGACTTAAAAACTCAGAATTACGACTTAAAATCAGCTCAGCTTAGCTCAGTTGGCAAGACCTGGGTTCGAGCCAATGATGTGAGGCACAAACTAGGGTGGGAGCGGCGAGGGCCCAAGCCCTAGAACCCGAATCGGTTACAATAACTAAAGGACAGACAATGAAATGTGGGCTGTTTCGAAGTTGCAAATGTGAGATACAAAGTCGCAATTGCGAGATACCATAGTGCGTTTTCTTTTACTCTTTGGCGGAAACGGGCTTCCATACACTTCACCGTTAAGCTGTGGTTTTTTTTAATAACTAGTCATCGACCCATTTTTGCTGTTTTGTCTTCAGGCCCTAGAAGAAGCGCTGAACCTGCAACCCGCCTCTGCTCCCCAGGCTCCTGTGTTCAGTAACCATGGCGATGGAGCGATGAACTTCAGGCGGCAGGAGCTCCTCACCCAAATAACAGTACTAAAGGAGCAGGTAGAGCCTTTTGCCAAGAATAAAGTGTAAATGAAGATTTAGGAAAACAGTAGGGGTGGGCGCCTGGTTTGACAGAAGCAATAGTTCCTCTCCTCTGTTAAGGTTTCCCTCAGTGTTTTCAGTGTTTTCATTTTGCAGTTTTCATCTCCTCCTCTTATGCTGACAGGGTTGTAAGTTCAGAAACATTTGTTTTCACCTCTTATCAAAACACAGTGATTGGGAAATCCCGGGTACACCCCGAACAAAATTACATTTTTTTTTTTATGTGAGGTATCATGCCCTTTTTACTCATTTCAGAACAACATTTCTAGAATTGCTAGACTAAACAGTGTAAAGCACGAATAGTAGGTCTGTAAATGCCCTTGCGTCCCCGCCAGGTGAAGATCTTTGAAGAGGACTTTCAGAAAGAGCGAAGCGACCGAGAGCGCATGAATGAGGAAAAGGAGGAACTGAAGCAACAGGTGGAAAGACTGCAGGACCAAATGACAAAGCTGACAAATCAGGTACGAGGCGTTGCTCTTCTCAGCAGAGAAGTTGTAGGAGTATGGAACCAACCAGACAGCCATGATGATGTGGCCGTTATCCTGGCTTCTTTCGAGAAACAGCTGCATGAAATCCTTTAGCTGCTAACTACTATATGGGCTAGATGGTCTCCTCTCCTTTGTTACTTTTTTTCTTACTGGTATATACTGCAGTTATAACTCGAGCTAACTCTTGCACATGATAGTGCTGTTGAATAAAACCTCTTTAGTCGGATGCTGTCAGATTGCTAGTTGGACTTGTTACGTGTTCAGTTGTGTCCATCAAATAGAAAAGCCACAAGAAAATGTTGCAGCTGAGCTACTTGATATTAATTAGTATTTTTTTATGTGAGTTTTTAATTTGAGTTTCACTTTTGAGCTTAACAATTCATCCGGTTTGTTTTGTCAGATGTCCTTATTACATCACTACTTTACCTACATAGAAAATGAGTCAAAGTAATTTTAATTTGCCAGCCACAAGAAACAGATTAAAGTTTTGATTCTTATGTTCTAAAGTTTGGGTATGTTTGTTTGTGTAGTAAAGATTCTTCACTTCACGTTTGTCCCCAGTAAAGCTTACTGGTAGAATGAGGCATATGACATCATGGGAGTGTTAATAGAAGTCAGATGACTTAGCCCCTGAAGACACGGCTTTCAAGCACGACTCACACTTTCAGTTCTTTCCAGCAATTGCTTGAATATTTTAACATTTTACCTTTGTTGTTTGTCATTAAGGACTACTCTTGCTTTTGCTTTCTGCATTTGCCTGTTAACTATTATGTGTTTTTTCCTATTTTTTTCTTTTTCATTACAGTACTTCCACCACTTAGGAACATTTTAATACTTTTCGCAATAACGTACACAAATCAGAACTTTTATTTGATTGAGTCACTACAGTCTTGACATATGAAATCTGTAATTGTAATATTGCAGCTGGTGTTTCTTAGGTTTACCTTTTTTCATATTATGTTCTCACACTAACAACTTGTGATCACCAATCATTTTGCCATCTCATTTTAACGCCAGTTTGTAGTCTTTTGCTAACCTGTTTATTCTTGTCTTTTAAATTTGGGCCTTTTGCTGTGTGTTTTTTGTATTCGTTTGTATGAAGGCTTTTTTTTATAAGCAGGCCTGCATTCTAAACTCTGCTGCTTTTCCCCTCTTTCCATGCATGAATGTCTCAGTTGCGCCAGGCGCAGAGCGACTGTCAGAGAGAGCGAGTGGAGAGGTACAAACTGGAGAAACTTCAGAGGCATCTTAAGCAGGTACTCGATGTCCAAGCCACACAAATGCACTGTCGTTGAACAGAATGCACAGATTTCACTGGCTTTTTTGCTAGTGTGTTAATGTCATGGTGTATACACTTTCACAACTGTGAATTGTTTGAATTGTGAATTCAGCTCCCCTGTAAAGAATTTCCTTTTTTGCTGAACAAATCCTCGCATCTGCTGAAAACCTTTGTTTTACAGCTCACCTCAGCCAATTCATTGACCAGTAAGAATACACTCACACTAACACATACTGACAGCTTAGAGCAGGAACACAAAACCCCTTCTTCAGATGTAGAGTGTGATGTGTAAAGTTGTATTGGTAGGGACATGATGTGTGGGCATGGAAATGACATACCTTGATACAGTTCATCCATATTCCAGCCTGGCTAGAAACAATAGTGTTAGAAATAAATAATCATCTGAAATAGAGAATGGATTTAGTTGGATTTGAAACTCAAAATAACATATTCAATTATCGGCCAAATACATTCTTAACCAGCTTCATAGCTGTTACGTTATGATAAGTAGTGAAATGAAATCCGATTGTTCACTTTTCTTCTCATCACTATTATGCTGTCAGTATTTATTTGGCATATGCATTGTTCTCCATGGGTAAAATTTCCTTCAGTTAGTTATTAAGAAAGAGTTGCAAAGAAATTTGGATTTGTTTTTGAAAAACAGAGCAATTCCATTTCAAAATAGAAAAAACAAACCTTATGATTAAGGTGTTATGAGCAATCTTGAATGGACTGAGTTATCACTGTAGCACCGGAGTAATGTCAAATGCCAAGGATGTCCTTGGCAGAGTTCTGTCTGGCTATTTAACGTTTTGGAATATCTGCACAGCCAGAGCACAGGTCTAGCAGTTCAGTTCTTAACCTTTTGTAGTGTTGTAATTGTTTTGTACCCAGTATAGCCAGTACTGAATATGTGATTAACAGGCTGAAAATCCACTGTTGGTAAGAGTAGGAGGCCAGCTGTCCTGTATAAATTCCACTCTTGGCCTCTAAGTGCCCCCATAATTCTGTTATGTAATGGGTGTAGAATGGGTCTTGTTTATAAAAGAGTTTTGAGGTCATTCAAGATGAAAAACAGTTGTAAAATACACGTAATTGTCATCTGTGATGATCTACAGGACTTTCAGTTGAAGGGAATTTCTATGTAAGAAAGTAGCGTCTGGAATTTCAGTTTTTATACCCATGAGGTAATTTCTGCTGTTCAGCTCCCTCTTCTGGTTGTTTCTTGAAACGTTTCAGACCTGTTTGTAATTTTTCTGGCATGTTCTGGTTAATGAGCATAACCCATGTTTGTCTGTTACAAACAATAAACTCATATTTTGATTTAAAGTTTAAATGTTGCTTAAAAAGGAAGAAGAAAGCACCATATCTCCAGTAGTTTCAGCTGCTGGGACTTCTTTGGTGTCAATCTTCTCATGAAATATTGTTTGCAGTAAATTTCAATATAGTAATGCAGTATATTTGGTAAAACTTTGCTTCATTATAGGATAAATGCTGAAATGTGATCAGAGCTGCTACAAAAAATGTAGAAATAATATTTTTATGTCTTGATATTGGGATATTATGACTCAACATTAATTGCAGTCTTCAGTTATACTAAGTGTGTAACTAAGTAATACTAAGTATTAAGCGTACAAAATCTGAATGTCTAAGAATTATTGCAAAGTCTTTGTTGGCAATAAATCTGGACACCGTCGTAACAGTCTTGGCTAGTCATCACTATGGCAAACCAAAACACGGAAGAATAAACTTACTTAAACATTACTTAAATGAAGAATAAACTCAAATTACTTAAATTAACAGCTTAATGTAAATCTTTAAGTCAACCTCATATTCATCTTGATTGCTTAATTTTAATACTAATCCTAGTTTCCGGGGGTGTAGGGTAGCATACCATTCCAGCACTGAGCTGTGCACTGTGTATTGTCTTTCTGTAGGGACACGAAAGACGCACCTCAGACCCAACCACTGGATCAGTTAACCCTCCTGTGAGTCCCCCATACTGTGGCCCCTTTGTGCAGCCTGGGCACCAGGCCTTCGAAGGCTGGGGCATCCACTTCCCACCACGGGCAGTGCCTGTAGAGCATGGCAGAGACTTCCAGCCATTCCAGGCAGTAAGTATTTCCTTCGAACAAAGAGCTGTGAATCTGGGTGTTGCGGTGAGTACTATACACGCCTGGGTTTGATTCCAGCCTCAGGTGTCGGGATTGTATGGAGTTTGCAGAATCTCCTCACATAGGTTTCCTCCAGTTGCTCCAGACACATGCTGACTGAGTTTGATTGACTGTTCTATTTTGCTCTTTCCCTCCACTAACATCATCTTATCCAGGGAGAGGAGTCGTACCGCAGTACCTCAGTCCTGCTTTGTATAGTAGGGTAGTGGAATCGGTTCCTGCTCACAGCAGTCCTAACACTGGCACTTCTAGCCAGTGAGCTGGGACTGAAATAGTGGGAAAGCATTAACCCAGGTTATAAGTGGGCAGATGCAGGTCCTCCGCGATTGCTGGAGGTGGATTGATCTGAGTGAAATAAAGCAAAATGCTGAGCATTTGAGCAGACGATTCCATTCCAACAAGTTTAGATGGACGTCTTATTTAAGGAACGGGACAATAAAGGAAAAACTCGCTTTACCTAAGATGTTACAGTCTGGTTTGCATTAAATGTATTCATGCAATGCAACAGGTACTTGCTACATATAATTCTTTTAAATGGACTCTGTGGCCCAACACATAAAAATAGTTTGAAGTAAATACTCTTTAATTTTGTCTCTTGATGCACATTTTTCTTTTATGATGACTTACATGACATTTCAGATCACAAATGAAAAGAACAGGATATGCGCACAGTTTTAACAGTCAAAAATGTTAACAGACGATCTTCTTTAAGAACTGAGAAAGCAGGATTTCGCGTGCCATATTTTTGTTTTCTGTTCCTAGACAACACAGTGGTTTCTAAATTGTGGGTGTGTAGTTCCTGGTACCATGAAAAACATTGCTGGCAAAAAAGAAAAAGTTGGAAACAAGTTGTACTTTTGCCTTTGCGTTCCATTCCCTCCTCCTGGGGCCCAGGACAGCCCCGCTTGTTTAAACTGTAGCGTGAATGCTTGATGTCAAGGCACTGCCTGTCTTGAGTGTGCTGGTGTGGAGCATCAAGCCAAATCATGATAGGACTGGTGCCCCCTCAGCATTTGTTTTCCTGCCTTCTATATGACCTTCCAATGCTAGACTGCTGGCTAGGCCCCCTTGAGATAAGCCCAGGGAGACCATGACCTTTGCCAATAATGGACGGATGACTGTCTTTGAGTCACCTCGACAAAGGGAAGGCAGTTCTCACAGACATCAGCAGATTCATTTTCTACTAGTGGTAACTGGTTGTCTCGGTGTTCCTCTGTTTCAGGGGGGCTTTGTCTGGCCTCCTTTCCATCCTCCTCGCAGTCCGAGGGGCCCCGGCGAGTCAACCCGACCTCCCCCAGAGAACACAGGCAAGTCTTTACATCTCCTTTCTGCTGCTAAATTTCTGCTGCTTCCATCCTTGTGCACTGTGGTGGCTGAAGTGTTCAAATAAACAAGCTTGCAAAATGTCTTTAAGAAACTCTCATTCCCTGTACTGCTTAGGGAGCCTACAGAAAGCTGACAGGAGAGTTATGCACACACCCCAGGGTGAAACAATTCTTGAAGTGAATACTGACTTACCATTTGACACATTTATCATAGTACAGTAGCAAGAGCTTTTCTGTATTTCATTCACGATCTGGTTTTGAGTAAAAAAAAAAATAGCTGAGAAAATAATTTTACCACTGTGTTTTTGAGTGATCGGAAGAGCACTCAACTGGGAACAGAACTATTTGCTGGAGTATGCTGTAGCCTACCCTTGAGCAACAGCACAACTGTGACTCTGAGCCATCTGTGTTGATTTGCAGCCTTGAGACCTGTCGGAGAGAGAGAGAAAGTGCAGGAATTCGGACAAGATCTTATCAAATAGATGTGAAGTAAGACTAATTTAGGAGATTTAGTTAAAGCAGGCAAAAGTTTAGAATTTGCTTTAGGGTTGCGGGGAGAAGTGGTTCTCCCATAAGTGGAAAGGGAAAAGTAGGTGAGCTTTGTCTTATGGTTAAGCTTAAAAGGGAGGAATGCAGTGCAGCTCTCCAGTCATTTAAAATTAGGTTTACTGGGTGAATGTGGCAAAGCAAAAACAGGTTACAGATCACGTCAGGGTGGGGAGGATTTTACACCAGACTCGATCCAGCCTTAACCCCAGTTTCACAATTCCTTGCTGTTTCTAATGGCCGCTTTATTCGGGTTACAGTAAAGGGGGTGCAGGTCCTCTGTAACAAGGGCTTTGTGGTCATAGGTCCTCAACTCCAGGCTACCAGCCCTTTCATGGTCAGTGTGGCCACCTATCCTTTCCTCTTTCAGCCTGCCTCTGCGGTCAGCATGATGGGGTACTCGGTCTTTAATGTGCTCCAGGATCCGGACTGTGGTGAAAGGTGCTCAACAGAAGGAAGCTGGTGGTGTTGGCACTGTGGTCAGTTCTCCACTGAAGCAGTTTAATGCTTAACGAAATGGTCCGTCTTTTTGTCATTCCAGAACCGATGTCACCTGGTCTTGGGAAAAGTGAGCGACAGAATATTGACCCAGGAAAGCACTAGCGTTCTCTCTGCACACATAGATATGCGGTGCTATAGGCTGCAGTGGTTTTAAATGTAAGAAAATATAGTTTAATTAGATCTGTTTTACTGTAGGTAATCATTGTGCTTTTATTTTGTCAGCTGCTTTAAGTAAGTTGTACTCATCGGAAAATACAATTGTATAGATTTTTTTTCTGCTACTTTATCATTTACAATTTGCATGGAGGTATGTAATGTCACAAAAATGCTATTTTAAATTTGAAATAACATTTTTTTTCCTTCTTAGAAATTCTGCCTGGTATTTTGTTTCCGATCTCTCTGATGTGTGACATTGATGACATTACAAACATAACCAAGAGAATGATTTATTAACATATTTTGCAAACTATTGGATCATAAAATAATCCTAATTCCTGTAGCATATTTAATGGGGTACACCTGCAAGATTGCTACCATCACATTGCTCTGTGTTCCCATAACTTTCAAAGATTATTTTCTTTTTCAGAATTAGCGACTAATAATACAAGTGGCGTTTTCTTATTTGGAAGGTTGACAGAATTATTTTAAATGATTTTTTGAAGGCAGGTTAGATGGAAGATTTTGAAGAAATTGAAAACGTAATTTCGTTCATAGTTTGCAAAAGGTGTTTTCTAATTACCCGTCTTTGAATAATTGTATTGTTCAAGTTCTGTTGTCGTTCTTAGTGTTCTGTGTTCTATTTGTGTTGTTGTCATTGTCACCCTTAGTTTTGTATTTGAAGAAAACAACCAAAAAATGTCACTTTATAAATAAATAAGTCTCCTGATCATTTTAGAAATCTTATTGAAGATGAACTTGGAAACTGTTGAACTGAAACTGGGATGAAGAAACTTAATTATACAGGACAGCTGGATTCTCTCTTCTTCAGTTTTTATCCTGGAAGAGCTATTACCTAGATAAATCAACACTTCATTCCATGGAGTGTGATTAGAATCTTTATTTATTGTGACATACATTTTTTTCCTAAAATGTACTTTCCTGTAATTTTAGTTTTGTTAAGTCAAAAGTTATTCTTTCTCAGGCATTTATGTATTTTACATAATAAATAGATTATTCAGATGTTACTTTGAGTTTTGTATGCATTTTTGTAGACATTGTTTGATATATAAAATATTCAGTCAATTTTTTTCATTCATAATGCTATGTAGTTTATATTTATTCAGTGTGACTCTTATATTTATTAGATATACTGTATATTAAATTCAGTGTGACTGAGCCATTCCTAATGATTCAATTCTAGCAAAAAAAAATTCATAGTTCTCAAGTAAAGAGAATAACTTTCACATTTTTCTGTTGATTATTCTTTGTGCCATTGAAGTACTTCAGTTCTTCTGCGACTTGTGGTTGTTGAAGATATCATCAATTTGAGAAAGGAGGAGGTCTTCTTGACATTGTTGTCAGTCTTGGAGTTATCATTGGTGAGAGGGTGAGGTGTTAGTGTCATTCCAGACCTTTCACAGATACAGTAATGTGGGTCACCTGAGATATCCTTTTTAGGTTCCTTGGGATTGTGTACTCAGTACATGCTTGCTATAACTTGTTGCACATAGGTGGACAAGGAATAACTAAAATAATTACTAGCAAAGCACACGTTGCAGAGTGATAGTTTTGTGCTGGTAAGTCTGAATAGTTTCCAAGCAAGCAAAAAGACAACAAAAGAAAACAGTTTAAATGCTTTATTGAACTGATAATACAAATCTGAATGGCCACAGATACAGGCAGGCGCGTTTGACAAAGTGGCATCACTCCGCAGGAAGTTCGGGGTAGCTTGAATGCACTAAAGAGCTGCTCCGATCCTGAGGGTTTCAGGTCAAGCCCCACAGGGTGTCTGCTTTCAGGCCTCACCTTCACTGACATGCCCACTTATAAACCAACGCCCCCTTGTCTGTAGCCTTCAGTGTTACGGAACAAAGCAAGCGACAGCAGGCACAAGTGACACAGAGTAGTTTTAACATTGCATCACTGGGACATTTTTTTTTTATTGGACATCTGTGTGCATCAGAGATAAGTTCACTTACAGTTGTAATTTCCCATTACCAAAATAGTTTGCGTTATAATTTCCATTGGTTGGGTGTTGGATTAGAACTTTAGTAACTTAAAACATTTAACATTTAAACATTTACATTTCTCTTTGGGTCAAGGTTGTTGCTAAACAGTTTACTATTATTATGTTTTGTTTTGTTTTGTTTTTGAAAATGTGTCTTAACCACACTTATTTTATGTGTGTATGTTAACAGGAGATTTCAAAATGCGGGGGTGACAATAAGAAACATTAGAATAGTATAACAGTGCGTTTAATGGAAAATTACTCTGGATGCAAGTACATGGGAACTTCAATTCTTCAACTAAGGACTTTCTAAGCTGTTTCACTGCAGGTGATGAGCAAAGCCGACTCCTTGATTATATTCAATAATGCAGTTCATTTACAATTAGGGAGCTGCCTGAGCCAAAATCTTGCAGTGACATAGATTGAAATGTCCAACATTTGAGTGACAGGGATGAAATTAGATTCTAGAAGGGGTTCTGTTTCTGAGGCAGATAGGTACTGTGGGGTCAACTTCATATTCAGGAAAAAGATTGTTGCCTTGCATTGACGATAAAACTGAGCTGAAAAAATATATATATACAGTAACGTTACAAAAAGCATAGAAAGCGTTATTAAGAGGCATGTACAGAGAACACTGACCATTGTTTAAACTAAAAACTGGCATCACTAATATATTTATGAGTGGATTTTATTTCTGTTAGTAATCTGACCATGTCCAGCTTGGCTTCTGTGTCTTCCTTTGGGCTCTGAAGTAATCCATGACGTCTTTTCTAACTACAGTGACACTCACCCTGGGGTACCAGCGTTTCACTACTCTGCCGTTAGGCCCCACCAGAAACTTCTCGAAATTCCACTTGATGTCATTCACCTTTAGGGGCTCCCAAAACAGTCTGTTGGTAGGATTTCCAAAGCTGTCACCAACGGGAGGACAGGCATTCTGTTGAAAACAAAACAACCTGTTTTAACAGCTTGCTGCACTGCAATACCATGCTTGACCTGAGCTGTTTCTTATCTAGAAAATGGACACACACAGAAAAGTGGATTTTGTATCAGTATTGTATTTCCTGTTTATAGAGATGAGTGCAATAGAATGCTATCTAATAACACATCTGAGGCTGAAGCTGTCTCCTTTCTGAGTGGCCTGCACCAGCAATCCTGCAAGGTCTCACCTTGAGGAACGTGAACACGCTTTGTTCTTTTTGTCCATTTACATCTCCCTTTTGAAAGATCTCAAAATCAGGAACAAATCCATTCCCGGGCCGGACGTACCTAGAACACAAATAGAAGGTAATAACGATTATATGCGAGTTAGAACAGTAAGTAAAGCCTTCTGCCCATTTCAGGACACAAACATCTGGGTTCCTGCCAGTTGTGTCCATGGTAACTGTATGGTTCCTGCAGAATGCTTACTTTAATGTGGCCAAAAGTTCGCTGTTGTCTCCGGGTTCTTGCTTCCCAAACTGATTACAAGGAAAACCTAGGACGGTAAAGCCATAGTCCTTCAAGTCGTTGTGCAGTGCATTCAGATCTGACCAAAAAAAGAAAAAAGAATCATATTGAAAGAACAAAAAAGGCATGTTCCTTTGTCCTAATAAAGGAACTGAGATTTGCATAAGTATGAAAGGGAAATTCTGAGAATTGTGCCCATCTACTTCCAACTGTTAATAGTTGGTTAAGTCATGCATTACAAATCGGTTGTAAGTGAACTCTTGACTTTGTCAGGTGATTCGGTTGCTAAAAAACATTTGCCATCTGGTCAGCGGGAAGTTGAGTAAATGAGAGCTCTCTGAGCATCAAGTAATTAAATTACCCCTCACTAACATCTACTTAAAGCTTAAGAATGAGTAAAAAAAATGCTATTTTGTACCATGGTGGGGGGGGGAGAATATAATTGGACTTAAGAAAAAAAGGCTGGAATAGGAGCAAACCTGAACAAAATTGTTACTACCGTGTACAGTTGATCTATTTTTCATAATCATATTTGTAAAATGTTTTACATTTCTAAAATAAACAAGTTTACTCTCATGTTTAAAAAAAAACACATTTACAAACGTTTTGGTACCGTCTGGAGTAATTTGCAGGGTGCAAGAATTTGAGTTTGTAAGCTTTTCCCATTAATATTTAACAGTACTTTCTAGACATATTCTAATGTTTTTACCTATGTACTGAAGAGTCAGGCCTCAGTAGGAAGCCACATTGACAACCAGGATGGTTTTCCCCCTGTATTTGCTGAAAGGGACGTATTGGCTCCCATTTAAAGTCATGGCACCATAATCATGAAAAGTGCCTTCAGCCGCACTGTCGCACGTAACCTGGAAAGCAATGCACATTCTTTAAGTGTTTAAATACATTTTTCTGTCAGTCTTTTAACTTAGAAGGGTCCATTCAAGACCAGGTGCTTTATTATAACAAATAGCTATGTTATGGTGTTTGAGAACATGTACAGTATGCAGTATCTGCGTAGCTGATGGCTGTGACTGCTTTGCATTACAGTGCTGAAAGCCTGCCAAGATGTCAGAAAATAAACCGTGGGAGCACTGTAAACATTTGTTTTTGAATAGTCCTTGAGATACTGATTGATCTGCTCAGGCACATGTTGTGATTTGTGTAGGCCTACGAAAACAAGTTTTTATTGTTCGCTTACATTAATGAAATCCTACAGACTAGATCCAGTAATATACGTGTTCCATGTGCTTCAGTGTAAAAACACCCAGCAATGAATTCTAGCATATATAATAAAATATATAGTTACAGCATATTCAACTGAATGAACTAATTGCAGCTTGACATTGTCTTTGTCTCTCTTGACAATTGTATCTCAAAACAGGCCTCAGTAGTAGGTATTTAAACTGGACCTCTAAAAGAAGGCATCAGTGCATCTAGTCCTTATTGCATCACTATATTTTAGATATTTTGTCACGTGGTTGGTGTAAAACTACAAATGAAGCGCTATTCTTTGCAAAGAGGCCAAGAGCTGACTAAGTGTCAGTCGTGACTCGGGAGAGAGTCTCATTGGAGCTCTTGCAAAGCTCCCTGGCTGAGTTTTGCCACGCAGTTACTGTGGCAACCTAGGCAGCTGCCAGCAGCCAGTTATGAATTTGATTCATGTAAAAATACATTTTCATAGACATTTGTATTTGTGTAGATGGCTAAAAGAAGGCATTAGAAGTAAATAACATCCAGTGTTCATCCTAGAAAGCATACCTGTAAGTGCAAAGAAGACCCTGTGACAACGGACCATTTAGTGTTACCGTATATTAAGCCTGTGGACTTCTTTTTTTCTATGCTTTGACTATTTTGTTTCGTTCTTTCCACTGAAGCCCATGCATGGAGCTTCAACCTTCCCAAACCCTCTGAGTGTCGTAGTTGTTTTTCTTGCAGGCTAATAATGCAGGAAACTGGGAGTTTGCTGCATCTCAGATCTAAAATCCTTAATATCAGATACAGGTATAAGGTCCGTGTCTTCTGAAAGAGCTTGTGGCATTTGTACTTACAATGTTATTTATTTTGATGAATGCATACAGGCATTGTATTGCAAGAAAGCAGTTCTGTATTGTCAATTTTTGTGATGGCCAAAAAGCATCACAAATATATATAGTGTACTGTATGCATTTTCTTGCACAGTATCTTGAAGAAACCACCAATCAACTGTAGAAATTGTATAATTTTTGGGATAAACCTATTTTATGTATTGTGAATCACTTCTATTAAGGGTGCAGGGAGTCCAGGACATAATCTCTCCCTGCCCAGTAAGAGATCAGCTCCTGTTGATCCTGTTGCAGCTGAGAACTGAATGCTGTCTGATCCTGTGCCAGCATTGAATTCTGAATTTTGAACATGATCTTTTTAAAAAAAAAAAAACGATTTACTGCTTAATTACCTATTTAAATTTATATGAAGTATATTAATACGTTCATTTTACTGTTTTATAACATGATATTTAAACTCTACAACATACCTGAAACCAGTCTCTGTACAATTATCAAAACGCACGGCTGTAATGAATATTCACCCCTCGAAGAAGATGAACAACTGACATCTACGGTTATGTAATTCCAAAACACATCGAAGTAATATCCCAGACAGATATGACATGTTTTTACCTGCTGGTTTCCTGCTCCCAGACATGGCTCGAGAAAGCCCAAAAGAAGCAGGGCTAAAATCCAGTGCTTATCCTGGTTCCCCATTGCAGTGGGGCTCGTCTCTCTGCTGGCCCAGAGCTGGGGGTGTCTGGTGCTGATTTGGATTTTCCAGTGTCTTTATCACTGCCTGTGTTTCTCTCACTGACACCTAACAATGGCAGGAAGCCACGCATGACTCCAGATCAACCAATCCCCTGTTGATAAACAGTTTCTGAAGGTGGACCATGTCTGCTTTAACCCCTACCCTGTCAGTGAGCAAAAACCTACTGGGCACAGGATTGAAAGAGACACTAGAACCAGAACTAATAAGAAACTGCCTGAGAGGAACAAAAAAAAA